AACTTATATTTATGACGCGTGAAACCAGCGAGACCTTAAGACCATTTTGCATCCCCTTTTTATCTACGAACCACTAAACAGAGCGTAAAGAAAATTTTGCATAAGGCGTTATCTACGTACTTCAAAAGCACAAAATCGTCCAAAAAAGCGTCAAAAACTCCAAACAAAACCGGAGAAGCCCCATCCCGATCAACCTCCAAGAGCCACTGTAACCATTAACCTTTGGATGGGATAAATGCCTCGTCTTTTCCAGAAGCCATCTTTCCACCCTAGATCTCCCCCCGCCACATCCCATTATTCCCATCTGGGCACCTGACTTCGCGGACTTGCAAAAAGCATACCGCCGCTGCCTGGTGCTCCTGCTATGTGTGTATATCTATGTGTGTGGGTCTCTGTGTGGCGGCCTTACCCACCGGTTGAAAGGTCTCCGTTCCAAAGGTCCAGGTTGACAAATTGACTCTAATTTGCCGCCACCCCGTACACCTCTCACCGTCTCTAGGACCCAAGACAATATTTCCGGGGTAGCTGTGGGTGAGTAAAAGAAGACCCGCCCGGGGGGTTTTGCGGCAAACCGTGGCTCTTGTTTGGCGGTACGTGCCATGGATCACCGACGAAAGTGGAGACCCTTCTCCCCCAAAAGCAAGGCAGGATGCCCGCAGAAGCTTCTGAGCGATAGGGCACAGTTGTCCTCCTCCCCCTCCCCCCTCCCCCTCCCGAGCTCCGATCCATTACTTTCGGCCATTCAGAGGCTATCCCCCTTTAGTCTCTGTTTCTCTCGCTCTTTCGCTTTGTCTCTCTTTTCTCGAGCACAGAAGAGGAGAGGAACAGGGCTGCCACAGAGAGTGGTGATCCACCCCTCAGGGTCTATAGTTGGACCGTGGAAGGGAGGGGGCATATGCAAATTTAAGGAGGAAAAGGATTTTCTGGAAATACGATCGCGATGTTGTAAATTGTGCTGATCGGTAATTTACTTATGTATCCGCTCAAATGGTCTCGGCTAAGCGACCGGTTGTGTTAAATATGCAAATGTGTTGACGAAAGGGAATATTGAAAAAATTTTTATAAAATGTATTAATAGATTTTACGTTTAGGAATTGTGCAACTTTAGCGTTTAATAAAATATTCTTTTACCCCTGCTTTGCAAGTTTTGATATGCATATACCGGTAGATTATATAAATATTTTTCAATTTTGTTTGCTTCCACAAAATATTATTTCAATTGCCATTTAACAGAACTATGATGCTTCCCAAAAACTTTTTTTTCAGGTTCCGCTTCGGTGCCTTGTGGGCCTCCCACGCATGGGCTTCTTGGCAATGTCGAAATGTCATCATGACTCGTTCAAACCAGCTGTTCGAGTAGTCAACCGGAAGTTGTGGTGCCTGAGGGCACAACACGGCAGCTCTATTGACTCAATAAACATTTCCATCAATCAGTCATCCACCCACATCAATGTATTCGAACCATGGGCCCAAATGCCAAAATCGCAGATGACCTAATCGGGAATTATAAGGATTTGAATTGGGATCACCGGATTCAGAGTTTGGTTGGAAGAAATCTAGAAGCTTGCGGTATTTTAGTCTTCTTTATCTTAATATTCGATATTATCGAATTAGGTTTAATAAAGCTGATATCTAATATCACTCCAATGTTGTTGCCAATGAACTGAGCAACAGATACTTGGCTACCTCGGCTATTTGTTCAATGAAGAGTTCAGGGATGTTACGCGATGTAGTGACCCTATCCGGGGATCAGAGGTGTCGGCATTGCCTTTGTATATAGAGCCCGGGGCGGGGAACAGCCGATGACATAACCGTTTTTTGGCACGTTCCTCCCTGTGGGGGCACTTGCTAGGTACCGACAGGATAGAGTTTCGGGTGGATTAACTCGGATGATAGGGGGTCGATTGTTATTGGGGCGGGTTGGGTAGTCTGGTTGTATTTTTAATTATTCGGCCATAGAAAGAAGTTAACATAGATTTTATATTGTCTTTAACATTGTTTTCGTTCGTTACTGGTCTTGGTATCTGCCGTGTAAGTACCGACAGAATGCATAAAAGTAAAATCATTTTAAAAACATATATATATACATATATATATATATATATATATATATATATATATATATATATATATATATATATATATATATATATATATATATATATATTATTTATTCTAAAATATAAGCCCCGATTTCGTTTCCGATTTATATGAATACTGGAATTGGAGGCTATATTTTTGTATTTTCATAATTCCGATCGGTTTTTCGACTGATCGATTGCCTAAAATGCCTAAAAATACTCCGAAAACGCATACACAAAACTCTTATTTATTTTTAAAAGTCTATCTTTAATGTTAAAATATACTACCAAGGAGGCTGCTTCAAAAGGATTGGAACTTCTATATGTTTTTGTATATAGAGGGAACATGGTATGTGATATTTACTATATAGTATGGTCGTTTTTAAGGTCCCGTCGCTTCACTGTAAATTCCCAGGTTTCCCAACTTGAATTTCGCAATTTAAATTCGCTATTGAACTTCGGTGCCAAAAGCCTTTTTCTTATTTTCACTATTCCCCGGTTCTATATAAATAACTTCTACACCACCCCATTACCGTACAGGGTGGGCCCCCTTCCACGAACCATCGTTGGGCCCCTGCGAGGAGATGTGTCGGAATGGGGCGGCACCGAGTGCGCATAGTTTGCCCCTGGGGCGGCCCATTTCGTTTACGAGCGGCAGCTGTTGACCCGCAAGACGTTTCTAACCGGGCGACGACGGGCACCTCCGGGATCCCCGAGAAGGGATCTGGGCCCTAACCAGGGGGCCAACTCGCAATCAATGCCGCTTACAGGTAAACAGCGTGTATCGAGGGTTTAGTTATCGCCGCATGGTGTTAGAACGCCTTGATCGCCTGGAAGCTCAGTACCTTGAATTCACTACCCTAAAAGTTAATGCTCCAAAAGAAATCGCCTGAAAAGATACACCATAATTTTTACTCGGACCTAAAAGGAAATCCTCGCATTTCCAGAATTTCGAAGTTTACATATATTTAATACGAGGTCTTTCATGGAAATTTCGAGATTCTGAAAATTCTTGGTGATGATAATTCATGATTCTGGAAAGCGTTTAAGAAAAATAGGTAATTTGCAGGATGTGGGAATTATGTTTTTCCAAAGCTCCATATTCTTCTTTTCGAGATTATGATTTTCGAGATTCCTATGTGGAAACTTTTTACTGGTGTGGAAGGATCTCATTAACATTTGAGTAAATTCCTTCCAGGTACCTTATCCTTTGTAGGAAATGAAAACGATTATTATTATAAGTAAATTTAAGGAAGCTAAAAATTAAAGCTTTAAACCAGACGGAACTAAAAAATCCTCATTTATGAGTACTGTAACCCGGATTGAAGTTGTGTACACCTTGAAAGCAAAGTATCTACGTTGGCTTCTTCTGAAACAAATTACAAATCAATTGCCGAAAGTAATAATGCCCGTTTCACCAACATTACTTTTCCAAATCAAATCCTAAACGCGTGGCCTCGCACCCCCCAAGGGGAATGAAAAATGTGCAAAATTACAACGGTCGATGTGCGGCGATATTTATGACGTGGTCACCCCAAAGTACTTGGCCCGGCGCTTATTTATGGACCGGGCTTCTGTGCAGCCCATCAATGTTGGGTCGATTGATTGAGTCAACGAGGTCTGGGTTGTATTTCAGATCGATTTCAAAAAGAAGTCTGCACCTGACCCGGGTTCTTTTCAACATGGATTGTAATACGCAACTAAACAGTAAAAAAATTTCTGGTAGGTATTTATTAAACACAGTTCAACCGTTTCGTGTAGAAAATTAAATATGACCTACAACCCATAAATTCTAGCGTACTGCCTGGGAAAATAGAAAATGAATGTTACAAGTCTTTGATAATATTGAGCAAAAACGCAGCTAGAAAATTCATAGAGCCAATTCTAGGGTAACGGCAAATATCGTAGCGAGCTAATGGCACCAATAACCTTGATTTCTCTCAATTTACATTCTTGCGTGAACCTATTCCAGTCGTGTGGGTGTAGAAATTCGACAATGTTGCATTGATGAAGGGTGATCGTCTGAAGACGTGGGTGAGTAAGTATCGCGCTGAAAGTACAGATTACTGTAATACAACGAGTTCATTTCTTTTGGTTTAGGAGCCCGTTTAGCGCGGCAGTTGTCCCAAAAATGTTATTTCCCTCCTCGTAGCCGCTTTGTCAACGGAAAATGCTGCGAAGCTGACTCGAATACAAATATGCTCTTTGGAAGAAATACGTGTTCAATTTTCAGACAGTCACCTCCAGGCCTCCGGATTGTCCGTTGGTCTCTAGGCAACGAGACCAGGAAATGCGATAGTCATTTTTCAGCAAATAATAAAATCCTAATATACACCCGACATGTCATTAGAATGTCATTTCGGGGGTGTCTGGGGAATGGCTAAATCTGCTTACGTTATGAATTCCCGGAGGTCATGGTGGCTAGAGAATAGTAGGTTTTCCATCTTGATGCTCTGCAGCTTACGGTGAGTTCCGAGGACCCATGGGATCAGTGTTGGCATTTGTGGGCAGCTTAGGCCATCGGATATCTAGAATCTCCTTAAAATCTGCGTATTTGAAACTTTGATGTTACTTATTTAGCGTCGACACCTTTCAAATTTATTACCCATCCCTTAAGCTGCCTTTCGGATCATTTTTCCTCAATAAATATCTCTGCACACAGCCAACGGCGTTTTTTTCAATTTCCTTTTCCGAATTCCGCTTTAATAACCCCAAACTGGGCATCTATATCCAGGCCCCCTCTTAATGAAAAAGTGACGCAGCTTTCCACACACGCTACAAACCGTGTAGCCGTAAAATTTGCCGATAGCGCTAATCCGGCAAAGCACGCAAATAAAAAAACACGCATATAGTTTACTCTAAGGGCCCGGAATTTCGCACGGAACATAAAAGACGTGACAACCAACTGAAAACTACTTACGTGCCCCAACTAACCACCTGCTGGTCAGGCTGAAAAAGAATATGAACATAGAAGTTGCTGGAACCATATTAGTTACAGATTTTCGTTTAAATTTAGGCGTTCTGTTTTTTAGTTTTTCTCGGATTGCCTGCAAAAATAATTCCTAACTGTTGGAAAGGCGTGTGATTCATTCGGGGCAGACCCTACATTTCGAAGCGCGTGATAAGCCGAGTGTTCGGATTTAGTGAGCCGAAAACAGAAGAACTTTTGTGTGTATTTCGAAACTCTGCAGTAATCTATGCTTCCTTTTAGGGGAATAATTAGCGTCATAGCCTCCCTAGGCCATATAAATTATGGCGAGCCGATTACTGTAGATGCAAATGGTGTGATAACTAGCACTTCCACATCTCCTAAGGTTTTTTCTTTTTTTTTTCTCGTTTCCTAATCCTAGTCCCCTTTCCATACCTACCTAACCCCATTCAAACCTTTTTCAAAAAAGTGCACAAGAATGGGAAGCCTGTAGCGGCGACAAAAAAAGAGCGCCGATGTTTATAATTCGTCAGAATCGCGAGACATTGCCCGCATTGCCCAACGAAGCGAATAAGCCTACCTCCTAATATTTACGCAAAATGCTCTCACCTCAATGTTCCGTAATTCGGGCAAGCATATCCCTTCAGCCCTCATTTGGGTGAGAATCTTTGTGACGCTGTCACGGGAGCTCTCCAAAATTAACGTTTCCAATTTGGGCATCGGCGGGAGAGATTCTTGTCGATAACAGCCGCCTGGAACGTCAGCACTCTTTTCTAGCCGGAATATTGCATGTAACCTCGCTATGGGGCTTTTTTCTAGGTATCTTTATTAATTATCTAATTAACGGCCATGGTTTTTTGTGAAAATCGATAACCATGTCGGAGCAATTCCTAGCGACAGGTGAACCAACACTTGGTGCTCTGACGGAAACTGGCAAAGTTTCAGCAGTTTGTCAATTTTCTGGAGGGTTTTCCTACTTTTACCGTTTATTACTATTCAATATATCGATCGTTTCCCTTTACATACCTTTCCTAATAACCATTCTTGGGCTCCAGTCGCTTATCCGTAATTCTTTCAGATTTCTGAACATTGCCAACCCTCTCAACGCATCCGGCTCCAAGGCCAACTGCCCTGAGATGATGATCTCCAGGCAGGCAAGGTTGGGAACCGCTTGTGATAACTGCAAATATCCATAGCACCATTAATAGACCAATTCAATTACCTGACAAACGTTTGTTAATGTTAATGTACAATCAGCATCAGCTAGTCGCAAAACTTGTAAATTGTGCATATAAGCCCGCAAAAAAGACGTCATTTTGCCCATGCGCAACTTTTCACGCCCAACAAAACACCCGGATTCATGGTCCTTAATTTGCTAAAACCTATTTTTCCGCCTATTAAAAATACCTTGAGCAGTTCATTTCCAATCGAAGCTTTTCCTTGTTCAAATAGGACCTCATTAGCGCAATATTGAAGCCGGCGGCTAATCTGGAAGACGATCACGGATTAGTCGCTTTTCGCTTTATTACCTGTCTAAGCCGGATTATCGATCCAAAGTCACATAAACTGACTATTTGTCTTAAAAGTTCGCCGGGCAAAATGTCCATGGTCGCGCTGGAATACGTTTGTTTTGTTATTTATTATTGTAGGAAGAGCAAGAGGAGGAAAAAGGCCACAATAATCCACAATAATTATAAGTAGCCTTGCCACCAGAGTGCTGCCCATAGACACGTCCCCAAAAACAGGATCTCACTGTCAATAACCCAGGCACAATAATGAGCGGCAAGCAAAGCTCAAAATCTTTTCAGAAAAGGAAGAAGATCGGTTCGAAATGACAAGTTCAGGTGGGAATAGGCAGAGATAAGCTTTTCCCACTGGACCCGCAAAAAAGCCCAAAACGGATGGGTCGCCGAGGTTTAAAATTGGAAAAGAGCGCTGGCACGATTTGAGCCTAAATTGGAGCTGCCATCGCCCCCCACAAGCCATCCACCGCGTTTAGTATTGATTGTTGCTTTATGGAAACTTCTGCTCTAACTTTATAAACCAGTAACGTTAAAAATTGCAAATAATATGGAGTTGTTGGATGGGAGTAATTGTTGGTGAGTTGTGATGGGTTGGAGGTGGCCGTACTGTCCAAACAGACTTGTCCTCCGTTTGGACGAGAGACAAAGAAGCGGAAGGTGCACTGACTGACCCACGCACACTCCCAACAAATTTCTAAGGCCAGATCTAATCTGCACCAGGCGCCAACAAGAAATAGTGAGAGAGAGAGACCTTTCTGACAAAAGTGAAAACTGTCGTTGAAGGGAGAAACAAGGCTATGAGCTATCGAATATATAGAATTTTTGAAAATTTTATGTGCACCCTAGTTGCAAAAAATAAGATTAACTTTATGATATCAACGTTACTGGTGTCAGGTATAAAAGCTTGTATAAAAATTAGTCAAGCTATGCCCTATCCAAAAAACCGTGGCTTCTGCGGCCCTTTCGCGGAAGATGCTCATGACGCTCGGTAGGTATCTTCTTACCACCCCCTGTTCAAAACAGGCACTGTCGTCAATACATTTTCCCACATCTCGCTGCCTTTCACGCAATGATTCAGAAAGCGGCGGCTCACTCTTGTAAAAATCAATAGCGATAAATTCAGAACCCAAATCCGCTTCCTTTCTAGCTCTCTTTGGTAACCCGGTTTTATTGAACAATCCTAAGGATTTTTAGATGCAGTAATGACTTCGATTCTACGATTGATTTGGAAATTAATAGGCTTCACGACGATCTCTAAAGTTTTTGGTTCAATTTTTGCAACCGTTTTCATGGCAACGGATCCCAATGAGACAAATACGCAAAAGGATTAGCCGTTCTGCGCCGACTCTTAGCTGTAAAATTGATCGTTTCTAATCTCATTATCAAAGTCCGAAAAGGGCCAAATCATATTCTCAAAAACAAAGTCACATGTTTGTGGGCCCCCCTCATTCCTCAGGTTTTCTCTAGCCTTGCTGTGTTATGTGTGGGGCCCCGGCCGGGTCTCGGCAAAAACGTGTACGTTTTTACTATCGACACCAAAAAACAATGCTTCCCTCGTCCACTGCTGATGCATGACCAACAGCGCTGCGGCATATCCTCACAATTACCTTTTAGCTTTGTAAATGTGTTGTATTTTGTTTTATATGAAATAAGTAGCGTACGACAATTTATGAATTACGGGCAGTACACCGGCGCGCCTGGTGCGGCACGCGTGGATAATTCGCGTTTAACAAGAGAATAATTTGGAATTTGGAATCTAGAACACTAGGATATATGCGTAAATTCATCTCGTAGTGTAGATAGATACGCTCGGATCAATGTGGAAAATATCAAAAGCATATCGTGTAATTTATTGCGTACTACGCTTTGTATATGATGTTCAGAACATTTGGTATATTAAACAATTCTTTAGACGTATAATTATACTATTTTTGTTATAAACTATCACCGATATTTTGTGCATCTTCCAAGGACACGTGATATCCATAGCCTCGGCTTTGCAGAATGTCTCAACAAGGTAGCCGCAACACCACACCTTCACCGGGTCTATCGATGATCGACTATACTGAGAATTATCCACTACACTTCATTCCTGTAAGTTGACTATCTACTTCATTTCTCTCCATCATGAACATAACTGATTCTAGTTAGACGCAAAACTCAAAAGCCACAAAACTTACCATTAGAAACAAAGATAATTATATCTTTCAGGTCCGTCCGGTCACTCCGCGCTTTGAAGGAAGCCACTGTAAAAATTGTATTCAATACATGGAGCACATCAAGCAGTTGCAGGTAAAAATTCTTTAAAGCTGAATGGTAAAAAAATTCAATGGGAAAGAGCCTCGACGCAATTTGGACTTGCTCGGAAAATTACAAAAATGTTATTTCAGCAACACATTGACCGTGTACACGAGGAAAACCGACGCCTCAATTCCAACAACCGCACGATCCGCGAAACCTATGGACGCTACTATAGCCGAGTAAGTTGGCCTTTGACTGAACCCCCTCGCTCCCACATTCGCACACTTCACTGATCTTTCAGGCTGAGCACGAAGAGGAATATGTCTCCAATCTGCTTCTGAAGCGTATTCAGAAACTGAAGGAAGAGAAGGAAGTGATTGCCCAAAATATGAGCAGGAAGAAGAGCACATCGCCATCAATTTGATGAAGCGCATGCGTGAGGTGAGAATTCGTCTGTTCTAATCGTAATTCGCTTTTCATTAGGTGCAAGCTGAGCGTGACAATGTCAAGAAGGAGATGAAGAAGGAACAAACTGAACAAATGGACGCAATGATGAAGAATATACGCAAGACTGAGACAGAGTTGGAGGAGACCCGCAAGGTAAGTATTTTAACCTTGAGCAGAAACATATTTATATATAGGTTCTTGATCGTATGCGACGAGAGAAGATCGACCAGGAAAACGCTTTGGAAACTGAGCAAGAAATGTTGTACAATACGCTTGGGAAACAGTTGGATCAGCTCAACACCGATAAGAAGTTTGTAAATCGTTTCGACTCGTTTATCTCATTCAGGAGACTGGAAATCATTTTAAACCGCGCTTATCTGAGAGGCTACGTTGATAATGAGGATAACATTGATGTTCGTGGAGGCCCTAGGTATGTAATTCATTACTTACTGGAGATTTGAGCAGATTTAGCGGCGTTCCCTCTCCTATTCCGGCTGTCGTTGCCGAAGAAGTGCGTCCTCCATCCACATTCACTGCCGAGGCCCATCAGGCAGAAATGAGTAGTAGGTTTTTGAAAATGGGAGGGAGTTTTCCGTACGGTAGTAGTACAAGAAGGACAAGAAATCACTTTGTCAATTTGTCGGGTATCGAAAAGCCATTACTTGATTTAGAACTCGTGATGGTGGCCAGTGAACGTATCCGGGCTCTTGAAGAGACCATCGCTAGTTTGACGAAGGAAAGGAAGCATTTTGCGGCTACATGGATGAAATGCGCCGTTCCTTCAGTGACCGCTTCGATGGTTGCTTGACGCCCAGTGGTTCGAGTAAGGGCTACGCTTCCGCAAAACCTTGAATTTTTTTTTCAGGCAATTATGTGATGGAAAGCAACGATGTGAGGGAATACTCGATGGGCCCACCTTCAGTCCCTCCTACTCCACGTCCGGCTATTGACTCCGGTTTGGGTTTTAATAGTATTTTATATTACTGCTAATAATAAACAATTCACTGGTTCGATCTTCAGTTTCGGACATGGACGATGCCTCTTCGCGTGGCTCCCATCGTGATGATTAACGCAACGCCAACACCATTTGTATCTTAATGTTCCTATTCGACTTCTTGTAGCTTTACTTTCCTGTTAATTGTGTCTGTGTTTTGTTTGCCCCGTGAGCATGATGTTAGTGATCTTTACATCAGTACCCTGATATAGCCGCGAGTTTCTTTCAAAAGCCAATGACCACGCGTTAGAACAGGAAATTCTCGGTTATTCTTCGCACTACAACTTGCATTCCGCAAGCTGGACTGGCCGAGCATCAGTTCAGCTTGCAATCTTTGGAATACATCAGCCTACGCTTGTTACCTGCTGGCAAATCGGCTTCTAAACTTTCCCACTTGCACGACGGGTTGCTATTTGTTCGTTGCATCCATCCGTGCGCCAACGTGTCGAACCTACGTGTGTATTTAAACCCGGACGTTGGTCTTTTGTTGGGATTTCCATAAAAATCGAAAACCACAATCCCAAATAGAGACGCACCATTGCTTGTAGGCTGCCTAGTATTGCTTGTTGAGCACCGTTTCCTTTTATGTGTATTTTCTGCTTGATGTTTGTCTCTCATGCTATCACCAAGCGCCCCCCGGATTTGTGACGCTGCCTCCCACATTTCGCGTAAAATTCTGGAAATAAAAGTTGGCGCTTATTCCGGTGTGAGCACGATTAAACCAAGCATTGATTTTATTTTAATGGATACATTCATTTTAGAACTGACTACTTCGAAAAACAAAGAAAAGAAACACAAACAAAATTGATGTCTATTGTAATCTTGAAGTTAGTTAGCCCCATTCTTTTCAAGTGCAGTAATGGAATATGGAATGGAATACTAATGGAAGGGGGTCAAAATATGATAGTTCCGGGGGGAGTACTCATGATTTCTCTGAAATAAACATTTGTTTAAACATCGGCATTCTCTAAAGAAAGAAGATATTATAATATTTTTCGCATTCTATCGAATGGCATTTTCAAAGCATAATGGATATTGAAAATACGGAAAATCGACCGCTCCGGTTGTCCCATGTATTCTGCCGCCCATAGCTTTGAATCAAAATTTTAAACTATAAAACTTTTTACAATACATTTTGTCAGGCTGAAGTTTCAAAAATTGTAATAGTTTTTGACTCTGTGCGGCTTACGGCTCGGAAGGTCAAAAAAATCTCAAAAGTTTGCCTTCCCCCAGTTGTTGGCCAAGTTCTCTTTATTCAATAAAAATGTCATTTATATTTTCTCGCGTCGAATTTAGGTATTTTAGTAAATTTTTCGACGCTTTTCGAATAGCATTTGAAAAATCCGAAAATTCTTTATATTGTTTGAAATCATGAACACCCCCGTGTTTCATCCCCCACTGCTACCGATATGTGTGCCATTCGGGCGTCACATTTCACCAATTATCTAGGGAAGAAAACTTAATGCAAAACACGAATCTAATTTCTCCAAAAATAACACTCTTTCTGCCCCCTGGTATCAACAGTTTCCTATTTTCGGAAATCCATGTGATCTTCTGACTTTGCGGCGAAAGTGACGGACTACGTACTTTGCGGCAAGCGGCCTCGAGTTGGAAGCGCGGTCGGGTCCATGGCGTAAACAACGTTATTTTGCGTCTTTTCCGCGTTCCGGTGAGAACCCCGGGCCAGACGACCCTCCCGGTTGGATTGATAGGGGGACGCGGGCATCGTGTCCCGTTCGGTCACATCGACTGTCCCCCGATGCTTTTTGTAACACCTGTAAGCGCCCTCCTATACCCAAGCCAATATCGCCGTTATTTTTGCCGCTTTTCATAAGATTTTTGCAGGAATTTTTGCATAAATTCGATGTTTTCTAGAAATCCAGGCTAAAGGTCGAAACATGCTTTGATACCGGTGATTTTTCATAGTTTGCTCATGTTTTTTCGCGTTGCTTTTACAATGTTGAAATTTGCATAAGCAAATCTTCAGGAAAAAACCCAAATTCCATCCAAAAATTTCAAAATATGAAGATTTTCGATAGTAGCAAATCTGTTTTCTCACCTGGAATGGTTCCCGATTCATACCATGCCTGTGCGAATGGATGTTTAGCTATACCTATTTGATCTTTTGATCTTTGCGATATGGTCCTTGCGAAGCTACCCTATCTGGCGAGCCATAGCACTAACGAACACTTATGAGCACTCACGAACGCGTGCTGATCGATTGGTTGTTTTTGTTCAAGCCCTGCGGCGGAATTTGAAACAAAATGTTTTTTTTGATCTGACCTTTGCATCTGGCCATACCTATATAGGCGCTCACCTAAGAACCAATTTTCATCACTTTGGTTCAGCTCTATTTTGTATGCATCGCTACAGCCCTTCTAGTTACCAATATTTTCTTAGATATAATGCAATACAAAAGCCAGCGTTTTTTGAAAATTTTTTTTAAAGTATAACCCCCCCTTCAGCAATAGACAATAAATGCTCCTGAATGAATATTAAAATCCCTGCCACCACCCAAAAATGTTGGTAGGATTGTTGAAAAATTATTTTATTTTTGTATTCTATATATTCTCTGATTCAACTATTAATGTTCGCTAGTAAAACATCTCAATAGTGTCGAAGTGATTTTTTAAAATCCGTATCTCCAGATGGCAGATGTCAAATCAGAGTTTTGATAACAAATCCTGGTCATATTTCGATATTGCTACTTTATCTCCTTCATGTCCAAGGTTCACTTGTTGACCCTATTTTCTGCAAACGTATTTTGCTCGGCACCCCCCATCACGAGCGCTTTCTCAGAGTGGGCAATCCGGGAGATGAGGGGACAACTTTTTGATCCCGAAATTGCCTGGGCTTCCGATTTCTTGTTATCGGTTTCTGATCAGATCCCTTCTCCCCATCGCGGATCAACTGTTCGACAACATACTTGGACCGGAAGGACTGGATTTTGGGCGCTGTTTTTCGGTCCGATATTAAATTCCAAAACGCTCCACTTTCTCAGGCAGCCCCGCCCGTCAATATATTCATTTCCATTTTCAATCAAACATCAGATTTTCAATATTCCCTTTGTTGCTCGTATTGAACACTTTGCAGAAAAAACATGTTTTTCCCTCAGGCGATTAGCCTTGGGATTTTGTTGACGAATCGGGCCTTCATTTCTAAAGCTCTAAAATTTTTAAAAATATATTCCGAATAAATACTAATATGTCTTCTAATAATTTTCTTAACATTTAATTTTTAGTTTCCAAATTATCTGTCTTCTGGGAAAAATCGATTTGAATCTGTCATCATCGATAGCATTAATAGTTCCTAATCATATCAGGCTACCCCTTATCTGCCTTTCGACATCTGTCCACAGGATCCCGGTCAACATGACCCTCATTATGATAACTATTTTTATAATAACTCATATTACTAGAATAACTTGTCGAGTCGGGGGTTAAAAAAACAATTGTTTTTTTACTTTTTCATACAAAACCGACGGTTTTCTAAAAAACCAAATCTTTTAAACTTTTTTATCCACAGGAAATTTGTCTTAAACATTTTGCAGGAAAGCGCTTTTCTTGGGGGGATTAGCCAAGCGCGAGCTCTGGGTTAGTTGACGAATAGCGCGTTCGCTTTGCTCCCTTTTCTTTGGGCTGCGTTGTCAACTAACTGAGCGATAAACAAACCCGCATCGCCGGGTTGCTTTCCCCCTAATAGCAGTGCCCTACGGAGAAATTCTTATTTCCAGGCGTGTTTTTCGCTTAGCGTAGGCCGAATTGATCAGAATGCTTGCCGGGTTGACCTTTCCTTATCTGGTGTAGTGTCCTGTGGGTAGCGGCCAAAGGATAACGACTGCAGTTGCCTCTGACCCGTCCTCTATTTCTGACCAATGTTTTCCTGTTAGGGTATCTAATTTTAATTAGTCGGATAGGATGCTAAGGGAATTTGGCACTTTTGGGCCATTGGATTTGGCTTCGATTACTGTGTTATTCCTCTCGTATCTTGGATTACTGTATATTTGCACCCCGTTGTGCTACAGGATTTTGAAATATAACAAAATACTCGCCAGCGCAAGGCCAACATTTTGGTCTACTTTATAACGCTGTAGCTGGACGTGGAAGGGGGTCAACTGCATCTTTACCTTGGATTTGAATTTCGTTCATTTACACTTATTTATTTCCCCATTGTCTTCCAGTAATAAGCTCCACATCCTGTCATTTATTCAGAACGCAATGGTGATTCTATCAAAAGCCGAAGCTCAAATCTGCGCCGAAGAGACGCTATGGGAGCCTCAAATGGAGAAAGACGCATGCGGAGTTGGATTCGTAGTGTCGATCAAGGGCGAAAAGACGTATAAGGTATGTTAGTGCTGTTGGTGCTCACGATAATTTCCCCTTGTAGATTATGGCTGATGCGCGGATCATGCTGGAGCGAATGGCTCATCGTGGTGCTTGCGGATGTGATATGGATACTGGAGATGGAGCTGGTGTACTGGCTGCTATCCCCGATGCTCTCTATAGGGATGAACTGAAGAAGTAAGTTTCCTCCATCGGGATGGTGAGAATCTGATAATTCTCAGCGGCTTGTCCAGAGAAGGTTCTTTGGCAAAGGGTACTTTGACTTTGGGCCGGCTGGTGATAAGAGAACAGCTGGCGTTCACGTGCATGTTTTTCCACAACTCCCCGTTCGCCATCTTATCAGCGACCGATAGTTTGCAAAATGGGCGATGTCTGGCTATTTTTAAATTCATGCTGCAAAAATCTAAAAGCAAAACAAAAAACTAAACAAAATGATCTTTTCAGAACGGATGACGTGGACCTGCCACCTGTTGGGGAATACGCCACCGGCATCCTTTTTATGGCTGAAGGCTCATACAAGCAAGCGAAGGTAGTATAAGTTATTAATTCATAATTTCCTTTCACCAATTATTAATTGATTTTATAAAATCGTGAATTATTTAGGAAGCATTGGGCGACCTGGCCCGCGCTTGCAAGCTGAAAGTAATCGTTTGGCGGAAATTGGCGGTGGATAGAAGCTGCATCGGGGAGGAAGCTCGCAAAACCGAGCCGCTGATTCGTCAAGTCTTCCTCACCGCGGATTATGCCCACGAAGATAAAGACCAGTTCGAGCGCAACCTCTTCCTGCTGCGAAAACGGTCGAATACCGTGATGCCGAAGCAGAGTCTCGACTGTTATATCTGCTCTCTATCGACGACAATCATCGTTTATAAGGTTTCGTACATCAGATGTGGCAACATCTTTATTTAGGGGCAATTCACTCCTGCACAGCTATACAAGTACTACGATGATCTGACCGACACACGCTTCATCTCCCACATAGCTTTGATTCACTCTCGTTTCTCCACAAATACCTTCCCTGCATGGCATCGTGCTCAACCAAACCGGTATTCCATTAATTGGTCAATATATGGTAATTTTTAGAATGGTTGCCCATAACGGTGAGATCAACACTCTTCGCGGCAACATCAACCTGATGCATGCTCGGGAAGGTGTCATGAAGAGCAAGACATATGGAGAAAATCTTGAGAAGGCAATCTTATTGGCTGCTATATTTGTATTCTTATTATTTTTAGCTATTCCCCGTGGTCGAAGATGGGTTAACCGATTCTGGGTGTTTTGACAACGTGCTCGAGTTTCTGGTTAAAGCCGGAAATCGTTCCCTACCTGAAGCAGCGATGATGATGGTGCCCGAGGCTTGGGAGAAAGATGAGGTAGAAACAAAATTCCAGTCGGCAAATCTCACGATTTTAGTTTATGCCCCATGACAAGAAGCACTTTTACCGTTGGGCTTCTATGTTCATGGAGCCCTGGGATGGGCCCGCGCTTCTAGCTTTCTCTGATGGTCGCTATATTGGAGCAATCCTAGACCGAAATGGGTTGCGTCCGGCTCGGTAGGTTAAGCCTAAGCCTAAGAGCTGTGCAGCCAAAAATCACTATATTGCAAAAAATTTAGTTACTACTTAACTGCTGATGGTCATCTCTACTTATCCTCCGAGGTTGGCGTCAATGATCATGAAGCCGACTCGGTGATCAAGAAGGTAATTTTTTTATTTCAGGATTGTTTGTTTTTTCAATTGCATATTTCGTTCGTGGAAACATTTCAAAATTTATTGCACCTCAAGCATTTGGGGGGTTATAGAAAAGTTTATTATTATGATGTGTCTCACGTGTGTGCAGCCAGCGAGCGTTTTTGGGTGTTTTGCGTAGGGAATTTAGTAGTTGATCTCTTCGCCTCTCAAATTTGGTTCATTAGTTTGCTAGTGATTTCATTTGTCAATCAATTATATATTAGTTAAAAATTTACCCGGGGAAACCACCGTAGACGTAGATTGGCTCGAGGGCCGGGAAGTTGGCTGGTTCAGCCGCACGCTTGCCAAAGCGCATGAGAATTCGGTTCGGTGCCGCCGATGCTAGCGAGACCATCTAAAAAATATTCCCGGACTTTACTTTATGTCCAAAAGCTTTTTGATTAATGCACTTACCATCAGAATAGCACAGATAAGCGCGAATACCTTAGCAAGCATTGCGACGTGTAGTACCTGAAATGGTAGTTCGAGTGGGGACGACAGAAAAAAAAATCAGGACTGACGAAGAGGCCAAGATCAAAAAAATCGCTGCCTTAAGGATAACCAAAAATATCTACCCTTTCGAAATGCTCAGATTTACGAGGCTACTACGAAACGAAACGTCACCACTGGCCCATCTCGCACTCTTTTTAGGCAATCTGGGGGGGCTATGTCAAGCAGCAATCTGCCTTGAAGGGCCATGAGTGATGATGGTGGGCCAGAGGGAAGCCATTTCCGAACAGATGGAAATATAGAAAGCGCATCCCGAAATCTTCTCTATTTATACGGCCCAACTTCAAGGGAGGGGCTTAAAAACGAAGCGTAGCCTATCGAAAATAGCTACCAAGGGCCGTGCCGTCCGTTGAAATACGAGAACTGGAATTGTGCAAGCGAAAGGGAATTGGCGGGTGTGCGTTTGATGCGACGACGTCGCTTTCGCTTTCAATTAGTTGAGTAGCTGATTTTTACTTCCGCTATATTACAATTCTCTCGGTCTGTATTTGTTTAGCGCTACTAGGGGTGGTGACGAGAATTATTGCCGGTTAGGGATGAAAAAATACGGGATGTCAGACGGAACGCCTGGAACATGGTTTCCTAGCGCTTTGGGTATCTTCGAACTTGAGATCCTGCGCTAAATTCAATTCCTCTTGGACTAAAGATTTTGCACGGGGGCCCCAGCTTCCTTGAATCAGGTGTATAAGGTGCTAATGTTTTCGCCAATCGGCAGATAACTGGCCCAAACCCACTCAAAAAAATACTGCTTGAATTTGTGTGCGCACTTCATGACTTTTTAGCAACACAGCGCAAATTGAAAGATATATGGTTATTAAATACGGTCAAAAGTGGGGAAATCAGCTGTAAGATTTTTGATCCTAACGCTTGGCCGCTAGGTTTAGAAGGTTTTAGGTAAAAGGCCTGATGCAACCAGGATGCGCGAGAATCGCTGAATGGGGAATCGCGGGATGGGGGCATGCCGGCAGAATGTAGGAAATAGCCAGCACGATGAGCCAGGGGTGTGGCCTGATGGGAATTCCAGGTCATAGCCCATTGAGAAGCGAAAACGGAAGGATCCACTGGCTATATGGGATATTGAAGTGGTGGTCTCCTACGGCTTGACGTCGGAGTATTGCCTACCCTCGAATCCCTCCTTTCACCATTTTTAACCACGACCCCCACCCCGAACAACATCAGATTTCACGCATTGTCGGGTGGTCGAACACTAACCAAAACAAAATTGGGGCAAAATATTTTATAAGACGCTTTGCCAGGCGTTTATTTGGCTTTTATAGTGCAAGTAAATTCTAGAGGCTTGAGAAAAAGGTTTGCAACCAAGCAAAACGTGGTGAAATGATGGGATTTGGCCCAGAGGGACCGGGGTTTAAGGATCGAGTGTCGTTGGATGTTCTCAGGGGACACGATCAGAGTATTAGATTTTCGCTTCAAATGGCCGCCCACGACCTAAACCGGCGTTGGGACCCTTCAGATCCTCTTTAAGGCCCACGCCAACATTTCCTATTCCAGCGGATATGTCTAGAAATTTTTAGTGGTTCCACGGGGGAGGCCCAGGAACGTGATACACGCATGACTTGAAAAGCGGCGACCGAAAAGGCAATGAAAATACGAATCCCCCCGTTCACGTTCGCCTGAGGTCTGCGCCTAGCTCTTATTGTTTGGCTGCCTTTATACGTGGGGGACGCGGTGACTGATTGATGAGCTACGGTACCTCCTATGGCTGCAATTCGACTAATTCAAGCGGCCCTATCCCGCTAAGGTGAAAGATAGCTTTTCCGGTTGATTTAGTGCGGCGGGCGGGGGCAGAAATCTCAAATAGGCGCTCTGGGATCGTCGGTGTGAGAAATGACTGGCCTAGCATCAAAGCGTCGACACTGCCCTTTGGCATTACGGGCCAGATAGATAATGGTTGTGGGATATTTTGAGCCGCAACCTCTGTGAAAGAAAGCTGACCTCAGGACATGGCAGGGCAGGCGCCGTTTTGAGTAAACTTTTTACAAAGGCGCCGTCCGGCCTATTCATCGGGAATCAAAGCGCCGCCGGCGTGCTGCTCGTTTAAGAGGCCTGACGTGAACTTCTGGGGGTCATGTTTTAGATGTTTTAGTGCTTCTACCCAGATCGTCTGCCGTCTGGTCAAAAACCTATCTACCAATTTCTGACGGGGCTACTTGACTCAAAGGCAACGAACTGGAGATCCGGAGGTCTCTTGGTTTTGCATCCGGTGTCGGCTCCTAGAAGTAAACGTGTGCCACCCTGAATCAATTGTGGGGGTGGTGTAAAAGAATAGCACTTTACGCCCTCGTTTCAGAAACACTCCGGGCACAACAGGACTATTTATGGACATTGTGCACAAAAACATCCAAAACGAATTCGGCGCGTTTGGTTCATTTAAACCGGCGGTCTGCTGGCTTATTTTCTTCCAAAACGCATCGTGCTGAGCGGATCTCTCTTCCCGAAGCGCATCGTGTCTAAAAAGAATTCGGTTAAGGAAAGAATGGTAGTTCGGAAATAAGCTAACTGGTTTTAAAAGAATTGAACTAACTTAGCGGATTTGTAGTTCTTTTTCCAAAGCGCATTGTACTTAGCGGATCGCCGCCGCCAGCGGAGGAACGTTTGAAAAAGTTTCCATTGTCTGAAAACCGAAATCCTAGAAAAAGCTTCGTTTCAGTGCTGGTTAGTTGGGTTCTGTAGTTGGGGCCGTGCGCGGAGGTGCTTTTGGGACGACATTTTGGCAATAGGCTCCATGGAAAGCATCCTACCGAACGATCTGAGTCCAGAGCGCTTGCCGAACCGCATGGTCCCAGAGCACGCTCCTTTCTGACGAGCCCCTTGGAACGATGGCGTCTGGACGAGAGTGAATGGCTCATCCATTGCGTATTTCGCTAAATACGTTTTGTTCTTACCAAATTGTGTTTTTACCAATATAGCTTCTCTTTCCAAAGCGCATCGTGTCCAATGGCGAACGTTTGTCGTGGTCAGTTTCGTCATCTAATGTAAATGAAGATAGACTGTGAAAATTTGCGAAAATAATATCGATCAAGTCTCTGTTTTTTAAAGAAAATAACGATAGCCACAAATGATACCCCAAAATCGGCTACTAGTCAACGCTACTTACCGTAGACTTGTTGCGCAGTGGCCACAAAGCAAATGGCGGCCAATAATCCCCATAGACAGCGTAGTGACATGATGTGGCTTAGAGAAGTATGAGCGACAAGGGATCCCTCGTTGCGGGTTGGGCTGGAGCACCGGGAGTCTGGAGTGCCGGTGGGCCCAGATTTGTGTGAAATGGCCGACGACTTTCCGCGTTTATACGCCATCAGCCACGCTTCAATGGGCACAAGGTGGCGGCGGTAGAAGGGGCGCCAGGCTTGGCAGCCAACTTCTTCTCCTTTCCATCGTTTTCCATGGCTTTCCTCTCGAATGAACTCCTTCGGTGGCAAGACCCGATTGAAGTGCCCTCACGCGATTTGGGGCACACAAACGAACGGTCACCACCTACCTACACCTTCGGAAGATGGGATCTGGATAGGGCTAGGAGAAACATGGAGTAAAACTTTTATAAGGGTGTTGCCATCAAAAAGTTCATTACTACGATTCCGGCCGAATTGAAATTTTGAATAGAGATTCGGAAGGGAATCTTAAATCGTCACTGAAACTTTCAGCCAGACCAGTACAGTAGTTTAGTTTTTCAATAGCCTTTTTGCTTTGTTTTCCGGTTATCTTTGACTTCCAGTCATGAAACTTGCATTAAGGTCAATTTTCCTTTTTTTAACTGACTCAAATATGCCATTTTCGTGCCAAATTTGTTCATGTAAAAAACTTCTGGACTATAAAATGTCGTGCATCATTTTCACCACACATTCCAAAATCCAAGTTCGCAAAATCCATGCTAAAAAGTAATTTTAAACCAACGGAAACCTACTGTTGTTGGCGGGGTTAAAGTTGCTTAAATATTTTAAATATACTCCCATATCTCTTTGCGAAATTTCAAGCCGATCGGAGCCAAAATGACAGATACTGGCAACGTTTGTATTTTTAAGATTTTTGAAACGCCTATAAGTGTCTAAATCAACTCTCGCCCATGGTATACAATGAAATTTGTCTGGTGATGGTAAACAATCAACGTTTATCGCTTTTTTACATGGTATCACACTAGCTGTAATTGTTCAACGAAGAAAATTGATCGATTCGGGGGCGTTGAGATACGGACAAGTGTGTGGGAAGCAAAGAAATGGGATTTTGCGTACAAGCCGGGCGTTAATAAAGAAAATCTTCGAGCTCCTCGGCGGGCGTTCGCTTTCCGAAGCGGATTGGTTCCCTTGGCGAGCGCTCCCCGAATCTGATCGGCTCACCGCGAAACCTATTTTTACATTCTTGAAATGTTTGGTTGGGCTTATACCTCTTGGCTTCTCGCTGCTCCACATAGTTAGCCGGAATCTCGTATGGATAAGCCGCTGACTGAAATTGGGATGCATTAGGATCGGGTTCAAATTGAAAGGCTAGGGAATACGCTTTGTTGACTACCAATCGAAATTCTCGTAGAACTCACCAGGAGGGTGAGAATGGCCAGGATGACAAAGGAAAGGAAGTGATTGGCGTTCATTCTTGTATATGTTGACCCAAAACTTGTAACCTGGAATTGACAATTATTAGGGTATTAAAATCAAGACAAATAATATTCAAGGCAAATCGAAAAATAATTTTCAGGATCGTCTAAAACCCGGCCGAATGCTTCTCGTCGACACAGTGAATCAGAAGATCGAGTTAGATGAAATTTGAAGGAACGGATCGCGAATCGCGCCCGCATAAACAGCTAACCGGGCCTCGGCTATGCGTGGAACTGTTCCGAAAAAGACTACGTGGCAAGTTTATTAGTTTGTGAATGAAGGGGTGTGGAGTTCGGTGGACCAAGGCCCGGCGCCTCCCTCGGGGAGATTCGCATCTCGTTAGGTTAAGCCGGCGCTCAAATCATAGACAGCGCAAAGGGCCTGAAAGCCTTAACTCCGTCTGCTGAACGCATGTTTTGCCCATAAGCTGCCCTGGGCCCGTCAGCGCGTGTCCATGAAAAGAAGTAAAAAGGGGAATTAAACTGGAGTTTGCAGCTTTCCTCACGGGGCTATCACCAACGAGTACTTGATCAAGAGGGAACTCGAAAAGTTGAAGATGCTAAAGGTAAATCATCAAAAATATCGGCTCCTCGAAACTTCATTTTTTAGATGACAAAGGACCTAATGAATTTGGACTGCGACCGCCGTCTCGCCCTCTATGCTTACACCCACGACACGTTTGCCTTACTATTGGTGCCTATGATTAGGGAAAGTTGGGTTTCCAAAATGCTTTTCGTCGGGCTAGTTTAGCTTTTGATTCTTTCAAGGGTTTTCATAGCGCCTTCCAATGGGGTTCTGTTGGGGCCCACACCTATGGAATCGCCTGCCTTCTCCCTCCTCTTCCGGCCCCCTAAGCTAGGAAATATTGGCAATGAAAGCCGGAAATCCCCATCATTGTCCGCCAATGGAGGCTGGGTTTGGTGGTCAGGCGCTCCGGGAGTTTTAGAGATTCTGTGGATAGACGTCGGCGTGAAAATCCCAGCCTTAAAACATAGCGTATGCTAGCTTTGACTTGGGTGAGGGTGCGAGGGCGCAATCCGATTTTCTGATAGAAGTGAGCAATGTTGCGCAAGTGCAGGGCCAGAAGTAACTAGCCGCTGTTTATGAACGCTGGGATGCATTCGCTCCGAGAGCGTCGCATTGTTCTCAAAGATCAGCCAGAGTTTTTATCATTTACTAGCGCGATGAAACTGAACCGATCCGTAGGGTATTTTTTTGCCACGGTTCGCGAGCGGGCTCAGCTAAAAAAAGTACGCTAAAGTCATTAAGCGACAAGCCGGGAAGAAGCAAGCGAAATTCGAGGTCTGCCCCATTTTCCTGGTCCACCAACTATTGCCGTAGCTGCGGGACCCAACGTCGGACCTCTAGCCCCAAAGCCCATCCCCTCAATATCACAACAAAAGGCATTAGCTCCTAATGGCCCGTGCCGTCAGTCTTCCGATGATGAGGCCCTTAACAAACCCCGCATTCCTTGCCGAAATGTCGACTGAGCGCCCAACACGGCACTCCTTGGGGAACGCCTGGCTACTCTTTTTGGCCGATTCAGACACGAATGGATGAGGGTGATCGAAGCTGGCATTAAAACCACTCATATTGCCGGGGTGGTAAGGTAAGTTCTTTGGTTTCTAGATTCCAGAAAATAAACAAAAAGGGTCAAAATTAGGTTGGCGGGCCTATTATCGAAAAAATGGGACGCTCTCGACCAGGAACTGGTTCGACCCAAAAATACCATATGTAAGGGCTGTTCCAATTCGTGGGGTTTCACATATGAAGACCTTTTGGCTGGACGTCAAGACGAGACGATCGGGCCATGTCGGTCGCCGGGGGCTACGGCACCGGAAAGCGCGTGAAATGCGATCTGCCATCCTTCGGATAGTGGCCCTCCACCATTCCCGAATTTGACTTGAAATCCTTCACCTCCGCCCCGCGTGCAAAAACCTGGGCAAGGGGGAGGAGGGGTCTCAGCTTTGGAAGCCAAAAATTTGCCTTCCTGCACAGAATCGAAATCCGCCCCTCCGGGTTGATGGAAGAGCAATTTATGCCTCCCCATTAGTCTTTGGAAACTGGATTGGAGAAACCGGGGGCCGTGTATAGTTCTGTACTTCAAAATCGAGGCTCAAAAATCTTTGAGAATGTTCCATGTCCGGGCGAAGACATCTCGCCCTGCTGGGATGAATAATATTTTTCTTTTAGGAAGGAGGCTCTCGGCTCGATGGGAAATGATGCTGCATTGGCTTGCCTATCTGACTACAAACCCCTTGCTGTTCGCTTACTTCCAACAGTGCTATTTGCACAGGTACATTCAACTAATACTCGCGCAAATCCCAGGTGGTTTGCCCAAAATTCGGATGTAAAAATATGGAAAAGGCGGATCATTAAGTAGAGCCCCGGGGGTAGCAATGACGGGCGGCCTCCCCTCGAAGCAAAGCAGCAATCGGAGCACTTCTACCCATTGCCCCGAGCTCCGGGAGCGCCGGACGGAATAACATGACTAATGACCGTGGCTCTAGTGGCTGACCATAAAATAGAGGGGAAAACAGCTAACAAAAATTTGGCTTTTGTGAAATCACGGAAGTGCCGTCGATTGGAGGGGCTTGATGAAGGGGCCCAATAGTCACGCACCGGGCGTCTTGACCAATTTCAGGCGGCGGCTCCCCTGCCGTTGGGCCCTAGAGCTGAGGGTTAGCTGTGCGACTGCTTATTCGCAAAACCGAGGCGGCTAACCTGGCAAGAAAAAAAATTATTGCCTTGGGGGGCCGCCCCACGGCCAGAATGAGGCCAATTGGGAAGGTCTGGCGGCCCTCCTGAGAGCATTTTTGCGGTAAGATACCGACGTAACTCGTGGGTGTTAATTCCCAGATAAGGCCGGGCATGCGAAAAATGTGGAAAATAATCATCTATCTTGCTTTATCATCATTCTAGGGGTTTTTGGGAGCTAGTAGGGTAAACCATTAACGCAAAGCCAAGTAAATCTGTATTAATCGCTCAAATTTAAATTTGAATTCAGGTGACGAATCCACCAATTGACTCCTTCCGAGAACAATTCGTGATGTCCCTTCGTCTCCTAATTGGACCAGAAGGGAACATCCTGGAGCCTAGCGAGGAACTGTGACGTGGCGGGATTCTCGACCAGCCAATCCTCCTACTCGTCGAGAGCTTGAGGCATGAGAGCTTATTCATATAGTTGGCTGTATCAAAATTACAGGTCCTCAAGAGCGCGATGTACAAAGGTTGAAAACAAAGACTATCGACATCACATACCCAGCTCGATATGGTGTCAAAGGTACGTTGCGTGAAGCCAAAAACATGAAACTGACGTTTGCGAAAAGTTACTTATTATCCATTTGAACGCCTGCTTGCAAATCAACTTTGCGCCGGCAAATGAGTTTTTGGTTAACGACCACCTCTGTCTGTCGCCTTGGAGGGCATCTGTAGAATCGAAATTAAGAACATTAAGTAATTATGATTTCTAGGATTGGCCCTGGACTTGACCGGGAATTTGCTGCGAGGCCTCGACGGCACCTGGATGGTTATCAACTGATTGTCCTTTGCGATTGAAATGTAATTGCCGTTTTTAAGACCAAAAATATTTTCTAGGTAAGTCCTGACAATGTGTTCCTATCCTGTCATTGTTGGCTGTCGGCGCCATTCACCAGATGTTGGTCAGCCATCGACTGCGCATGCTGTATTTTTGAAGCCCATTAAACTATGCGATTTTTATGGGTTTTAGGTTGCGCCAATCGTCGAAAGCGGCGATGCTCGAGTCGTTCATGACTTCTGCGTATTAGATGGATTCGGCGCTGATGCTATTTGCCCGTATATGGTATTTGAGACTTGCTTCCGTCTTTCGTAACATGGGCCTGATCGATAAAGAGCTCAACGGATGATATGGTACCTTTTTCCACCTGAAATATCTCTATCTCACGTCTTCAGGTTTTCGACGGATTCCGTCAGGCTGTTGAGCGCGGTATCTTCAAGGTGATGGCAAAGATGGGCATCTCGACCCTGCATTCGTATAAGGTGACCGGCGCCATTATTACCTAACTAACTGTCGAACGATTTCAGCACGCTCAAATTCTTTGAAATCGTCGGGCTGTCGCAAGAAGTTGTGGGCCAAGCGCTTCAAAAATACTGTATCCCGCCTTGGAGGCGCCCTCATTCGGAAATCTTGGCATCGGAAGCGCTTAAACGTCATCATATGGCCTACCCAACCGCCTCACCAACATCTAATATGGGTATTTACCAAAAGCAATTATATTTTAATATCTGGATTTAGGAGACCTTTGTACAAGTTAATCTCGACCGGCACATATCACTGGAGGGCAGAGAAACACATCAATGAGCCACTGGCTGTTGCGCAAAGCTGCAGGTTTGGATTTGTCCAAGGGCCCTAAAAAAATCATAGGCGGCTGGCGCCGGGCAAATAACAGCAAGACTTTCCATGAATATTCGCAAGTTCCTCGAATCCTGGCTCTGGTGTTGATGGTGTACTCTGCGAGGACAGCCCGAGATCAAAACGTTATCAAAGATCCAGATCTCCATCGACGATGCGAGATCAAGAGACCCGGTTAATCCGCCCCCTATAGGCTGAGCCAGCCTCTGAAATCTCGTGAAGCGCTTCTCGTAACTGAAGCTATGTCATTCGGATCAACTCTCCTGGAAGCCCATACAGCCTTGCACAAAGCCTCCATGAACAGCATTGGATCCAAATCCAATACTGGAGAAGGAGGAGAGAAGCCTGGAGAGGTTGGGTCTTTGGTTGTTTTGGATTGAGCTTACGTTTTTTAGGTATGCCAAAAATCAGCCGACCGACAACAACATTCGTTCTGCCATTAAACAAGTTCGCTTCCCGCCCGGTTTGGTGTAACATCTTCCTACTTGGCAAATGCCGACGAGATCCAGATTAAGATGGCTCAAGGTAGGCGAACATTTGTTGAGTACAGTATTTAACTGAAAACGCGCTTAGGTGCGGAAGCCGGGCGAGGGGAGGTGAACTACACGGGCACAAAAAGTGAGGCAAGATAACGCTGACACACGCAAATCAACTGCCGGCGTTGGGCTGGATTTCCCCTCCACCCCATCACGATATCTACTCAATTGAAGATCTTGCGCAGGTATGTGCCATGCTATGAAATGGAAATCCTGTTTAGCTGATTTTCGACTTGAAATGCTCCAACCGAAGGCCCAGGTGAGCGCGGAAGTTAGGTCAGTGAGGCTGGTGCTGGCATCGTTGCTGCCGGCGCGGTGAAGGGCAATGCGGACCACCCAACAATTTCCCGGCCATGATGGTGGCACCGGCGCCTCAAGGTATTTGATATTTTAACCGCGCTTAACCCGCAGTTTAGCTGGACTGGAATCAAGCACGCGGGTTCGCCTTGGGAACTGGGCGTTTCTGAAATCGCATCCAGGTCTTGACGATGAACAACCTTCGATCGCGTGTCGTCGTGCAAGCGGATGGCCAGATTCGGACAGGTAACGCGTAGCTTGTCGACTACGCAGAATAAGATCAAATTATGGATTAAGAATGGAATTTTTGCATAGGCATTGCCTCAGCAGTTAGGTAATATCCCATGACGAACTGTGCACTTAGTTAGTTGAGAAACTGCGAATGATGCCAATTAAAAATTGTTCAAATGTAGGTTATAACGAAACGAAAATTGGTTATATGTAAATCATGCCAAATGCAAATTACATCAAATTGAATTAATTCTATCAAAATAAGCTCCAAGAAATATCATTAATATGTCATATGTAGATTATGTCATTTTGCAATTAGCGAAAATAAACCTTCGCTTGAGATTCAATAAATAAAATAGCTTAAAATTTCCTTGTTAGGGCGTGATGTGATGGTGGCTGCTCTGCTTGGTGCTGAAGTGAATTCGGAATGTCAACGGCTCCCCTGATCGTTTTGGACTGTACAACGATGCGGAAAGTGTCATTTGGAACACTTGTCCAGTGGGAATTGCTTCGACGGCAAGACCCAGTATTAAGGGGGAAAATTCGACGGCAAGCTCGAGCATGTCGTGAATTATATGTTCATGGTTGCCGAAGAAGGCAAGTGCTTCTTAAAGGGATCAGAAAGGAGCAGGAAAAATTAGCTTAGAACGAGTTTTGGAGTTCTTAAAATTAGCATAAACCCTCTCTGCTCTCTCCTGCGTCGCCCCACTCCTCTGCCCATTTTTTTGCATTAGCATCTCCGGTTGGCTCGTGGGGTTGCCGATCATGAGACAGGCCCTGGACTCTACCGAGCCTTCCTTATCCCTTTAAAATTAGAACTATCCACGTATTGCCAGGTTCGCTGGCTTTCTTGGCCAAACTCGGACCGCGGGACCTTTGACGAAGCGATTATTCTAACTGGACTTGCTGTACGCCAGCCCAAATCCCATCAACAAGGTTGAGAACCCTGTTTTTTAAGAAATTCTTTTTATACAGAAAGCTGATATGCTTGAATTTGCGACTATTCCTCGAAATGTGAATCTCGCTTCTCCCACATTACCGGACGAAGGGTGGATCGATCAAACAGTCTAGACAATATTCCTGATTGAAACAGCCCGTTTCAGCCGCCTGGAAATTTCCGGCTTGAAACAAAGATTACCGAACAATTGGATGGAGTCTTCAGCGATAAGGGTGCACATAAAGAGCTCAAGGACCTCACGACGTCACCAACAATGAGAGGGCATTCGGCGCGAGTGATCAGCTATGAGGTTACCACCGCCATGGCTTATACTGAATCATTCCTTGTAGATTTCTAAGCTGTTGCCAATCGAGGCTGGATTGACGGAAACCGATCCATCAAAATCGGCCTTGTTTGGATCAGGCCGGACAACCACCCAGTGCCTCTTTGGCGAAAGGCAAGGCAAAAACGTCTCCAAAATTTTTATTTAGGGGTCACTGTCACCCTCGAAGGCGATGGCAACGGGATTATGGGGGCAAATGCCTCTCCGGTGGGCAGGTGGTCATCTACCCGCCGAAGAACGCACGTTTCTTATCTGAAGATGCAACAGAGTCATCGGCAATGTGGCCTTGTACGGCGCCACTTCCGGTACTTGAGAACGCTCATCATCATCATCAACGAGTTTTAGGCAGCGCTACTTCCGAGGTGCTGTTGGCGAACGGTTCGCCGTGCGAAATTCCTGGTGCGCATGCCGTGGTAGAAGCCATCCGGAGATCATGGCTGTGAATATATGACCGGTGGCAGGTAGCTCGCGCCAGCGCAGCCCATGGAACAACAACCAATTTAGGGTGATTGTTCTGGATCAATTGGTCGAAACTTTGCCGCAGTACGAGCGAGTGGAGGGCTTGCGTATCTTTTCCCATAGTAAGTGCTTAGGAAGTGTACATTGTAAATTGCCTTTAGTGACGAGGATCAAACGCTGGAGAAAGTCAACATCGCAACTGTCTTCCTTGGATAAACCGTATAAAGATGCTTTTGAGTAGGCCTGTTGCGATTTTCGGTCAAAAGGATTTTTCAGCTACGTCCACGGCCAGATCTCCAAATTCGTCGAATTGACTGGATCAGAGTTCGGCCAAAGAATTTTGGACAACTGGACAGAGCTCCGCCGAAAGATTGTGGAAGGTAAAACGTGCCATTTTGCACATGTTCAACGTCGCCTAGGTCTTCCCCAAGGATTATAAGCGGGCTCTTGAGGAGCAAGAAGCAGCTAAGAAGCGCGCTGTCTAGGAACAAAGGACGTCGAGGACAGGATGGAGGTAAATTTTAGTCCGTATCCAAAACGTGAAATTCAGCGGCTATCCATCGTAAATACGCGCCAACGCGCACTTCCATGGATATGCAAAATCTGGTGGATAGAGAATGATAGCAAAAAGAAGAAGCCCGCTTTGCCGGAAGGTGAATTCTTGATGGACTTACTGTAGCCCCCAGCCGGAAGGACCACTTTTGTAAGAATGCCAATGGGTAGCCCTTGGTCCCGGCTATCATCCTCCAGTCTGGAAATCGCAAAACAATATTTGAATTTTTAAGTATTAAGCTATTGTTTAGCTGGTTTTCCGGGTTTGCTTGTTTGTTGACATTACCATATCATTTTACATTACTTTTGGGATAAGATTAAAACTCTTAAGGTCGTTTTGACGCTTCATCGAATGGCGTTCACTGTGCCAAATACAGTACAAAATGTTGGAAAGTAGCTTCAAATCTTTCCTATGTGGAAATCAAGTTTCCTGAATTTTACTTTTTAGATCTTTTGGTTTGGCTTCGACATCCTTAAAAGTCTCGATTTTAAGAATCTGGACTTTTCCGTAATCTCGGAATTTGTTTAGGCTAGAATGCAGGGCGTGGTCTTGCGCAAAAACCGCAATTCTACGAATTCGAGATTCTGAAACTCGAGATTCTGAAAATTCGGGATTCTGTTTTTCAAGATTTTGACAATTTCCAAAAATTTTGATATCACATTATTTTGAATTAAAAATTCTCTGTTGGATAATCTATCGAATCCCGTCGACTGAGCCCGGAAAAATAGAAAAAATATCGAAAAATTTGGGATCTTCGGGCAACGAACACCAGTTACATTTATTTTCAGGTTGTCCCCGGTAAGTTGGAAGATGTCTCGGACCGTCTGACCGATCGACGTCGTGAGCTTCGAGAAGGAAATCGATATCCAAGCAAACCAATCTTGACGGGGAAGAGGAGGAAGGCTCTGATGAGTCGAAACTGACGACGAGGTTTGAAATACTTGCTGATCTTCTTGATTTTTTAGGTCAACGACTTTGCCTTCAAGCAGACAACAGTCGATATTGAGAACATTGTTGTGCCTGGGAAAGCTAAGGAATTGGACGAGCCCCTTGGGACAAGTTGCGCGTGGTTCGTCAAATACCAACGGCAGAAGAAGCTGTACTGAGATCCGGCGGTGCGTATCAACGACTGGGATGAAGTCGCCGACTACGAGGCCATTAGGGTCCAATATCCGCGAACAGGCTGCGAGGTTTGCAAGGATTTCATTTTGTTTATATATATATTTTTGGGATGTATGGATTGTGGAGTGCCTTTCTGTCTAGGTCATACTGGATGCCTGTTGGGAAATATCATTCCAGCAGCCCAATGACTATGTCTTCAAGAAGAACTGGCGCCAAGCTCTTGAACAGCCTCCAGACGAACAATTACCCTGACTCCACCGGCAGGGTCTCCCCAGCGCCGGGTGAGGTAAAATCTTTCGCCTTTTCCTGCCGTAAATTATGTTCTTTAGGGCGCTTGTACTCCCAGCATCAGCTCCCCGGCTGTAACTATCAAGTCCATCGGATATGCCATCATCGACTACGGATTTATGGCAGAATTGGACACGCCAAATCAGGCCCCAACTTAGCACTGGAAAGCGGATCGCGATCATCGGACTCAGGAATTCATCTGGTAGGCTATGATATTTTGCTTTTTATCCGGGAATTTCCTCAGGCCCCGCGGCGGCAGCTCAATTGGTCAAGGTCGGGTATACTGTGGTTGTCTACGAGAGAAAGCATTGGATTGGCGGCCTCACTTCGCTACGGTATCCCGGACCATGAAGCTCGATAAATACGTGGTTGACACCCGCCGCGTCAAACCTCATGGAAGGACGAAGGAGTACGATTCATCACAAACACGGAGATCTGGGGCAAAGATGTTCCGGCCGAGTTTCTTCTGAAGGTATCAATTACCACCGCAACAGTGAAGTTGATTTGCAGGAAAACGACGCTATAATCCTATAAGTTGTCTCGACCAATTCCGAGGGATTTGCCTGCTGAAGGACGTGATGCCAAGGGAATATATTTTGCCATGGAATTTCTGGAAAGGCAACAGAAAAAGTGTGGGAGACGAGGTATTTTTTCACACAACACTGGGTATTCCGTTTTTTAGTTGCCATGGGAAGCTGAAAATGGACGTGAAGGATAAGAGAGATTGTGGTGTTGGGGTGGCGGTGATACCGCTATTGATTGCATTGGGACTCTGTCTCAGAATGGCGAAGTGATTCGTTAAAAACGTGTATTGACCTTTTCAGGGCGCCAACCGAGAGGGCCTTCGACATCTTACCGCAACCCCAGGAGCTTCGCAAGCCAGAAAACCCGTGAGGGCCAGAGTGGCCACCTACTTTCCGTATCGATTACGGTCATGATGAAGCGGCTATCAAAGCGGGCAAAGACCCCAGGACATATTCCGTTCCCGACCAAGGTATCGTTGACTCTTTAAAGACTTGACGCTTTCCGACATCCTGAAACTCATCCTCCCGTTTAGCGCTTCATTACTGAAGTCAACGCGAATGGTGTCAAGATTGTGACTGGATTGGAAGTAGTCGAGATCGAGTGGGAAAAGGATGCGAAGGGTGCTTGGAAAATGGTGGAAAAGCCTGTGACAACCTGGGTTGAGCCTGTGGACATGGTCATCCTCGCCATGGGCTTCACTTCAGCCCCGAGCAGGTATTGGGGAATCATGCGGAAAATCATTATATGGAAATTTCAGGTTACTCAAGGACCAATTGAAGCTCAATCTGAAGCCGGCTCCAACTCTACGACTTGAATGATGCCATCTACAAAACGAATGTGGAGAAGGTAGCTTTTACCATTCTACAGAGCGGGGGGACGCAATATATTTACTTACTCTTTCGCTTACTAACTACATAATTTAGGTATTTTCCGCCGGTGATAGCCGCCGCGGTCAATCCCTTGTCGTCTGGGCCATCCACGAAGGGCGTCAAGCTCGCTCGACAGGTTGACATCATACCTTAATGGGTACCACGAAATTGGCCGGACCCGGCAGCACCGTCACTGCCGACTTCAACATTGTCGAGGAATAGTCCCAACATCTGCACATTTTTCATGATTATCCGCTTCAACGAGCCAATTCCCATATGTTGACGGTTTTTTGAAATATCCCTCCAAAGCGGTTCTCCTTATCTTTGTCATCGGCTGGATGATTCACACGCAGTTTTGATAGACTCTTTGTCTTAGTTGTCAATACTCTTCTCCCTATTCCGAATAAAAGGATGTCTTTGCAGTAACCTCCAAAACTAAAACGCAACAAACAGCCATTGAAAGCGGAAGCCCATCATGTCCGGCGACCCGACTTCTAGCTCGCTTATTTAAAACGGGTGTGCCGGTACAGGGCATGCATCACGGCGCGATACCGGAGCTCGTGGATTGGAGTGTGTAAGCGGTGTCGTTGAACGAGCTCTTGGCCGGCTGGTGGGTAGCAGTGCTTTGTAGGATGCGGGCGTGCGGTACTAAAATATTTAATGAAGCGAGACGATAAGGGGAAAGGGCTGGTAGGCCGTAGCACTGCTCAGCCCCGGATCAGTGCCACACAACGGCTCCTCAAGAAAGATGTGGTTCCTGGGCGTCGCACTATTCGTAGGTAATCGATTTTTGGATCTCTCATTTGCATGCTAAAAATATGCTTTGTGAAGGAATGACGGGGCTTTACTTAAGCGAACGCGAGTTTTGACCTGAGGCCAAAGGGTACTATTTGACACGTAGCTGTGTGCCTACTCAAGCCGCTTACCGCAAGATTCTTTCAAATTGCGATCGCGAATCGTCAACGACTGATTTTTTGCGCGCATGCTATACCGATTTTTACAACTGGAATCGATCATCTATTCCCACAATTGATTGAATTTGACGAAATTGGTCGGTATGCGCAATCGCATTCCATTCTTATTCCCGGGCAAGGATATGGTCCCCGATTTTACTAGATCTTCCTAGTTTTACATTCTCAAAGCGAGCGCCACGGCCCAATTCCGGCCGCCAGACTTCCAGGCTTGCGATGGTGTCCGACTCAACTCGGTCCAAGCATCGTTCAATGACGTTCTCGGAATCAATCATAAGCCGCTTACAATATTTTCGCGTTCACTAACCTCTCTTTTTGCTTTTCCTAGATAACACCCCTTGATTCTTACTATGCCACAAAATCTGCTCTTGGGGATTTTTACAGGCATCAAAATGTCGACTTTGATTTCCACCTTCCCTCCCTTCAACCAGCCTTTATTTTCGTTAAATATCCTTGAAACCGCCATTATTGCCCGGACTATTCATTCGAGATGTTTTTCCAGCTAGCCTGAAAAGGAAGATATTTGATGCTTTGCGGCAAGCCGTCGAGAATATCTTGGGCCCTCGCAGGAGCCCTTGGTCTTCAGGACCGCTCTGCTCGGCTTTCGCTGATCAAGGTCGGATCTCGGAAGTGAGTAGATTTTGACGTTTGCGTCCAATGTCCACTTGCGTATCAGTAACATCCAAGGCTACGAAGCTTGCTTTTTTGGACCGTGAGGACTTGTATCGACGGCAAACGGAACGTCTACTGGTATTACGATGGCTCAGGTACGGAAAAGCTTATTAAAAACGTGTAACGCGTAAATTGGCTTGATTTTGATATCAGAGTAAAAATTAAAATGTTAAGAGGATTAATATGGTTTAAAACAAGCTGAAGAAAAGCAGCTAGCCTTGCAATCTCATTTTAATCATCCTTTCTTGCGCAGGTCGTCGGAAATGCATCTCGGATATATCGGAAAACTATCGGAAAACTATCATACAAATAGGATAAGAAATAAAATATATCGTTATATCCAACTAATGAATTTAAAAATCGACGGGAAAAAATCTACGTTTAGGGGCCATCGGCTACCATAAACTAAGGAACCAGGTTCGACTCAGGTGCGGCGCCGGACGACTCTCCGGCACTTTTAACGCAAATTTTCTGGAAGTTACGGATCGATTTAGTGTTCGCCAATCCGTTGACGCATGCGCGGGCCGGAATCTTCGCGACAAATTCGTCGAGGACCCGCTTGAACAACTGCCAATCGGACTTTTTGAATTCTGAGGCAAATGATCCATCAGATGCTTGCTCGTAAGTTAAAAGTATATAGGAAATTTTATCGTATTCTTCTAAAGATACGCCGATATCGCCAAAAACACTACTGGAACACATTCTTCCCGTGTGGCGTGACAACTCGCATGGTGGGGATGTGAATATGGAGAGGATGGGTACCGCCACCTATTACCCACAATGCACGCAGAACTTCTGTAACTGTAAGTATTTAACAAAAAGAAATTTCTGTAAAAACCGAAATCGCAGAAAATTGGATTATCTCGACCAAAACATTTTGATTTCTTCTAGCTAAACCCTGATCCACTCTGCTTCGCCATCGCGTCGACCCCATCAGCCGTTACTTACCTATAAACTCCTTTTTTACCTTTAATCAATAAATTTATCCCCCCGGAAAGTTACTGTCCTGCCCGAAAAGGAATTCCATTACCTCCACTACAAATCACCGTCACATTTCTGGGCAATCCCAAAAAAAGTCAATAAAACACTCGAAACGTGTTGGTGCGTGTAAAGGCCGCGGTATTAACTGGGCACGGGCAATTCGGCAACGCTTATGACCAGGACGATATCTGATTGAGGATGCTGGGCGCGGCTCGAAATTCTACGCTTGTGTAACACACGGGGTTTTTCAATGATTAGGAGTGGGAGTAAGGTGGGTGTGGATCTTTGAAGGGTTCGGAATGGGATGGAATGAGGAGTTGAAACCAGCAAGTGGGGTCGCATGTGGAATGATGGGCTCACAGAAGGGTTGAGCAGTTTGAACGTAGCGTAGCGTACTAGAGGGAACTTAAGCTAATATAGCACCGTTTATAAAGCATAATTTCAAAAAATCTCAGGTTCTGTCGCATCTAACGGTTTATTTGAAATTCCATTTCTTTATTCCTTTACCCTAGCCTACCCCGATTTTCACAGTAAAGCGCACGTTAGCCTCACGCAAACAGCAAACATGTTCATAGGTGTATTCCTATCAATACCTGAACGCCCGTTTTAACCTTAAAAGACATATTGATACCCCCCGAACCCAAGGCCGCGCCCTAAACTTTCATATAACCTTTTTTACAACCAAGCGACGCCTGGACAGTGACAAGCCAGCACTTCCGTCACCACTTCCCCGCCCCAAACCCTCTACACCGACCGCCGGCGTGGCCGAAGCTTTTGAGATTGCCAACAAGGCCTTTTAATGGGCAATTAGAGCTGAAGCCCTTCTCGAGGCCTCATCGGCGCCCTTCTCCGAGCATGTCGCACTGCCCTGCAAGAAGAGCTCGTAGACGCCATCTACACATGCTCTCACATATCTTCATCGTCGCCGTCGCCTTGGGTGAGTTGGGTTCAATTTGAGGTTGTCATCGAAAAGTTAGGCGGTGAAGTATCAGCTTGATGCCATATTTTTGGTTGTGTACTCGACTGGAATTTAAAGTAGCGGTGATTATGGTGAACTGTCAGCTTGCGAGGTATTGACGTCGAGCGATGAACACCGAGTTTCCGTTAGAGCTTTATTATTTACCAAAGTTTTTTTTCTTGAAAAGTCGATTGTATATAGCTTTCATCGATCCACACCCATGATAAAAACCAATCTAGTATAAGACTGTGACTACTCCGCTGAGTGACTTTTCTAAACTTTCCGCTGGACAGTATCATGGCAGTATTGGATATAAGCTCAATTTATTCGGCTTCTTATTGTTAGGTAATGATTTGCACTTATTCTGAAAATTATCAATTATTAAAAATAATACCGCTGGCGATTGGCAAACGTTATGTTGATAGAAAATTATTATATTCCTAAAAATATCAATTATTACAAATAATACAGCTGGCGATTGACAATTTTGAGAACTTAAGTTATAACGTTATGTTGATAGAAAACTTATTATATTCCGAAAAATATATCCACTTTCGATTGGCCTGTTCCAGGCGGCACCTGGGCCCAGCGACAAGAAACCTGCGACGATGGACTCTATGCCACCTGCCAGAGCAACCTAAACACCGCCCTCAACATCAACATCAACCAGCCATGGCATGAACCATCCCGATACCGTGATGCTGTACCAATTATTATCTTTAGCTAATCAATCTTATGTTCTATATGCATTCATACCCAACCCCAATTTGTAGGTGGAGGCCTTCACCGGCAGCGGCTTCAACGGAACCCGGAATGTTTGCAAGTCTGTGGAATAACCTTTTGAGAAATCTTTCTTCCAGGGCTTTCCGCGAATTCAAGACTTGCCTTGGCTCAACTACCATGCTTGTACTGCTGCGGCGCATTTTATTCTTGCCAGCGCCGGTGTTGATGAGGGATACATTTTTGCGTCGATTTTCAACGAGATGCACTACAATTGCAGGAGCCGGATTGCAGAGTGGGTTTTGACAAGTACTATTCGTGGTTCAAGATTATAAAACATCAAAAATTTCTGGATTGTTCTAAAATCAATTTCGAGTAAATAATATATTACTGATATGCAGTGATGTGTTATATCCAACTCGAAATTTATTAATGGCTTTATTTTTTGCCTCTGATCCAAGGATTAAAATGATTTTCTAGTCGCCGCCCTGAACGATAAATGCTTCCAAGATACCTGGACGAACTATGGTAGCTCGATTCGGGCATGCCGACAAGCCTGGGAATCACACGTCCGCGTCAACCCCGACGACGCTTGCTTGTAAGCCGTTTAGCTACAAACGACAATTTGTCATTCCTTAGCCAAGGCAACAATCTGCTAAAATGCAACGAAGACTACTTCGGAATGCAGTGCGGAAAGCAGAATCAGGTAGCTAACTGATGAATCGTGTTTGCAAGTCCGTTCAGGCGGCCCTTTTCTGGAGTTGCGAGTATGCTCGCGTTCAAATGTTCACCCGCTTCCCGCAATGTTCTCTTTCATGCTCAAGTGGGTTTTAATTGGCTACACTGAATCTTTTTTTCGCTTTAGTGCCGATCGTCGGTGGTATCTGAGGGCTGATGCACAATTTATTCTCGTAATCCTGTCACCATCTATCGATAAATTTTTGGAGTTTGTCGGGGTTTGAAAAACCGGATACGCGTGTAAGTGCCAGCTCAAAATCGTGACAGCTTGCTTGAATCTGTTTTAATCGTCCCCAGGCTACGGCCCTTTGCGACTGCCCTGTTTCCCTGTTGTTTTATAGCATTCGGAATCGCGGCCCATCGGAAACCGGAGAATCCGATTGTTTTACTATGGGAAAAGGGGATGATTTATTTTATGTATCTCTTTATGTTAGAAATCAAAGCCCAGAATTCCCTGGCCCATTGAAAGTTATATCGCCGTGCCGGCCAGCCAATCCGTCCCAGTTTAAAGCGCAATTTCCAGGGTTACGGTAGTGGATAGTGGGGGCCACTTGAGAGAAGCGGCCCCCATAGAGCTGTGAATGTGCGAAGACAGCTGTGGCTCGATCCCAGGCTCATTTCTAATAATGTGGTCACTTTGATCCGAATCGGGGGAGGGCGGGTATTGGCTAAGCAAACCGTTAAATACCGTAGTCTTGGAATGAGGTAAGGTACGGAGATGGAAAGCGAGCGAGAGAGAGAGAGAGAGAGCGAGTGAGAGAGAAGAGAGAGGCGGAGAGAGCGCCAAATACAGAGATAGAGAGAGAGCGAGAAAATAGAGAAAACGAGCCCCCCCAGTTCGCAAGTCGAATTTTTAAGTTTAGGAGTGCCCAGGATTATAATTTTACCAAAAGAGACTATTTAAAAGTGTTTCCCATGCAAGACAAGCTTAAGTCTTTGCGGAAACTTTGGCTTCTTGCCATTTTCCAGCCAAAATTCGAATGCTGATTTTCTAGTGCCAAAAATCAAAAAATTTTAATGATCCCAAGATTTAAACATATCCGCGGCCTGTTCTGGTATATCGGTGGCTCAATTGAACAACTGCCTACCCTCACTCTTCCTGGAAGGGACACACTGATTAGGATGGACTAGTGGAGGGGAAGACAACAGGCGATGGATGGGTCCCACTACGGAAAAGACGATCAATTGAGATCGATGGCCCTCGGATGGCGGCCAGATGATAGGGATGGACGTATTGAGGGGGGATATAGGGGGAGGACAAGTGTCCTGATTCGTCCACGACACGACAGCTGAACATTCACGCACAGGGCGATAATGACCCTCATATTGGGTTAAAACATGGCTCTTTGAAGGTGCTCGTAGGGTGCTTTCTTGCCAGAAAATCACAGCTATTGGTGTGTATACTATTCTTGATATACGAAAGCTATACCCTTTAGAACTACATCAGAAATTTGGAAGAGGCCAGGCTAACGATTTTCTGAGAATTGGGATTTCGGCGCGCTTGTTTTTTTTGGGTAATGGATTGCATCTAATCGATACAGAATAATGTTAGTAGACCATATTTTAAAATGTTTTCAATGCGTAGAGCTATAACTAGACGTTCGCGCTTAATAATTAAGTTTAATGATTTTTGAAATTCGGAAGCGCCCCTCCTTCGATTCACAAGTTTTTCCCCAAAATCCACTGACCGGACTACGGTACCCGGGCGAGTGGACCCATTTTACGACCCATATGCCTCAAGACACCCCTCTCTCTCCCCAAACAGAAGCTCAGGTTCAGTTACCCCACACAGAACCCATCAAAGCTCGATGCCGATGGGCACACGTGGGCCGAATTACCAACTTTGCTTTTGTGGAGGAAGGCGCTTGCCCTCCCCCAGCGTCCATCTTCCCAGGAAGTTATGGGCCCACCTAGGCTTTCATCGCCCGGCTAATTTATGAGACAAAAGCACCAGGGGAGGAGGAGGTGGATCACGAACACGATGTCCGATTGTGGGATGGTAAGAATGATGGGCGAGGAATTTCCATTGCGTGGGAATGTATGTCGGCGGATTGGCTTTGTGTTACTGAAAGGGCTTTCGGGGTTTTTATGGCTTGTTTTGGAGAGGTGTAAAAAGATGAGAGTCTATGAAAGTCGGGTTTGGATGGGGCGTTAAAAACGTTCGAGAAGGGAATCTAAAAGTAATTTAAACGCTCTATTTTACAAAACTTCAAAAAATCAATTTTTTTTTGGTTTACCGCAATTTTCAAATCTTAAACATTTTTATCCGAATCGTCGTCAAATTCTTCATGACTAAATTCTAAAACTATTTCAAAACTATCGCAGTTTCCTAAGCCCCGCCGACTCGCCATTCGCCCGGATTCGACAAATTGGAAATTGGTCCCTAGCCCCCCTACCCGCTCTCTATCTCTATCTCTCTCCCTCCCGCCTTCTCTCCCCCCATTGGGTAGAGCAATATTGCAAGGCAAATCCGTCTTAATGGCCCACATAGCGGCACGTCTCATTTCTCTCATTTCGTCTTAATTAGTTTAGCGATTAACGAATGGGTTACACGGCCAGACCTCGTCCTCCTCCTCCTCTCCTCCCCAATTCCACCCTCATTTGCCTTGTCAGGGGTACCGCGCAACGGATTCTAAACCACTTTTATACGTTACACTCAAATCCAATTTGTAATTCATCATCTGAGGGAGGACGTGCCTTTAAACAATACAAATCAGTTCAAGAAACGCGAAAGATAATAGTTTGTATTCTGTCTGAATACTTTTAGGAGCAGAACGAACCAATAAAAGAGTTTCCTAAATAAGAAATCACAGGAAGAAAGAGAAAGTGTAAAGAAATGCACAGCGGAATGAGGGATATGACTTGCACTAGGATATTTATCAGGACCGGATGGATATAAGAAGCGATAGTGGAAATGGAAAGATGAAAGCGTACCTGTTTTGAATAATGGCGTGTGGATCACTGCTTTGGAATGGTTAAGGAAGACAGCTCGGGTAATTCTTTGCTGAAAAAGTTGGGTTGGCAAATTATATAGCATCAAAATGCATTAACCGTGACGTCATTCTCTTTGCAATTCTAATTTTTTATCATTTTGGTGGTAAGGACTCAAGGCTCACCTGAAGTCAAAGAAAAACTGTGTCGGCAGAGTTGGAAGCGCAAAAAGTTGAACGGCATCATTGGTGGAAGGGATGGTAGTCAAATAGCCGTGGTTGTGGGATTGTAGCGTGGGACGAGAGGACAGGGCGCCGAGTTGCGGAAATTTCGCTAACGGCTGCGAAAGGATCCACTTTTGCTTTGGCGAAGCCGCTCGGGAGGACTCTTTAAATAAAGTATAATTTTTAACGTGAAAATATTGCTTACCAGCACTTGGTGGTGTTTGTCGATCCTTTGTGTCACACCCCGGGTTGTGCTTTTTCCATTTGGTCCGCCGATTTTGGAACCAGATCTTTACCTAAGAAAATTAAAACAAATAAAAAATAGAATGGCGCATACCTGAGTTTCGGTGAGATTCAACGAAATTGCCAGTTGAATCCTTTCCCGCACGCTGAGGTATCGTGTCGACTTAAATTTTTCTCGAGCTCCATCAACTGCTCGTAGCTGAAGGCGGTTCGGGCTCGTCGAGCTTTTTTCTCTTTGTTTGGCTCGCTACTGGGTTGGTGGGTAGAAGATGCCATGAACCGGACCGAGACTTTCCTGATCTAAATATAAAAATATACGATGATTTCGAATAGCAAACCTTCATTGGCTGACGCTCCGCTCTTCACATCACCCCTCAAAGTTTCTGACTTTTCCTGACATTTCTCGAACAATAGCTCGCAAACCGAAAAATCCCTTCTTTTCCGAAGCCTGCATGCTGAAAAACTACTGTATAGGGCGAGTATCGTTTACTAAATGAGACCAGAACCAACTAAGCGAAAGGTACAAATTCGGGGAAAAGTGCGTGGGCCGTTGAGACTAATTGCCAAGGCCGTGCTTGAACCGGCGGGACTTCAGGTGAAAATTACGAAAGGATTAGTGCGAATTCTAATTGGCTGTGGTGCTAAAAATCCTAATATCGAGCCAGAGTGGTGCTAAATTGGATAAAATTAGTATAATTTTGTATAGGTATACGGTATAGAGCTAGGCAGGGGCTCGTTGTATCTACATATCCGGCTTAAGATAAGAACTGAAGCACTACGATTAGAAAAAATAAAGCCCAATAAAAGCATTTTCGGCCTCTGCAAGCTGTGAGAATAAATTGCGGGCCCCAGGCCTTTCTATATGGGTAAAGCGGAGAACAGTTCCGATTGGCGTTTCTCGAGCTCCGCCCCTTTCCATTGAGAGGCCCATCCATTGCAGCTTCTTCTCCTTCCTGTCTCTCCACCTCCTCGTCCTCTCATCCACCCCACCCAGTTGGACCCATATTTCAGCAAATGGCCACTGAGAGCTGTCACTGAGAGAGATTCATGTTGATTTGTGACAACAGTGAGATGTGTGAATGGTTGCCGGTGATTGGCCGCCAGGGGAAGGGGGAAGCATCAAATCAAACAAGGTTTTTTTGTGAGTAGAAGTTTGGAATGGTTGTTGTAATCCAATGAATACAATGGAATCTGATGCCTCGATCCTTCTAAAGGTGGGCCATTTGGTTTGCCACGGATTCTCCTCGGGCATGTTGCGTTGCGCGCTGCGGGGATCACGGAGTCACATCTTGACTTCCTTTAGAAAGATTCCAGTTTTTCCGCCCTGGCACCCTACAGTTTTCCTGTTACAAGGAAAAAACGGACAGTTTCCTTCTGCCTTAGAAATTTAATACTGAAACCTCCTAACTAGGATCTTTTTTTATCGATAAACAAGCTTTTTAATACCGCTGCGTTCGACGCTATCCATCCATTCGCTAGCATTATTTTAACAATCTTCTAGAAACCACCAGTGCTATTAACATGCGGGTTCCAGGAGGATACTTTGGTGGATTTCCGGATCCTCTTTCAGATGAACTGACTCTTTTTCTCGGTGTTACTGCTCTTTTAGGATCATAGGCTGGGCTAATTTCCTTGATAAACTCCATTTTCATGAAGAAGGAAATCTTGTCCAGAACGAGAACTGGAAAACCAGAATTGCTACCAACGAGTATCAGTAATGAATCTGTTAAGTGAGAAAATACGCTTATCGGGGTGACTTGTATAGGCAAGAAACAGCCACATCGAAACGCTTTATCTCGCTTTTTCATACCCCAGCCACAATAATTAATTAAATGGTAAGTTCTGGTGTAGGTTGGAGGCTAGCCAAGAAATTGTTCTCCATTCAGAAGTCTAGGAGCTGCTCAAGGCTTGGCATTCAGCTATTGACGTCACTTCACCTGCCGATGCGGATGTATACGGCGCGCTGTCTTTATTTTGAACACGTGAAAACGGTTCTGGAAATTTGTGTGATGATGATAGCTGGCGACTAGAGAAGAATCTGGGTAAATTCTTATAACGTCAGTTTAAAACGGCCAAAAGCTTTTAAGAAAACGCAAAAACCAGATCACAGCGATCTATTACTTGACAAAATAATGAAAATTACCATGAATCGGCTTTTGGAGCCCCTAAAGGAATTCTTTGAAAGGCCCTAACTAAATTTACTATTAATCTCAGGCTACTGTACACAAAATCCAAAATATACGTGACTTCTTCTTTGGGTCACGCTAGCGTTTTCGAAAATCCACCAGGAATGGTAATAATGATGCTAATTTCGCACTATATTCCCAGTTTACTTTCTACTCTCAGGTTTTTTGAATTTAAATCGTTATTATTTTTTCGAAAGCTTTTTCATTTAGGGATCGATTTGAGTGTTTATCCTTCCATTAGTGCAGCAATTCTCTTTCCCGGTGTACCTACCGCGTGGGTCCCGCAACGCCCCCTGTACCCGGTGGCCGCTAAAACGTCTAAGCGGAACCTCGTCCTCACCGGGAACCTTGAGTGGCCAAGGGTCTGTTGGTTATCTATGCCGTTCCTCTTGTATTACTTAAGAACAAAAAAAAAACGTATTTAGGATGCTGAGCCGAGCCCTGCTCACTGCGTCTCGCAGTTCGACACTGGCGGTTCGTGGGTTGGCCGCCACAGCTGCCCCGAGCCGGTTATTGAGGGTGTCCACAAACTGAAGGTGTGAAAATGTGTCTCTTGTCTTCTGTTGCGTTTGTCCATCTGCCGAGTATTTGAGGGAATTATGTCGTGGTTATATGCAGAGTTTTGTGGGATTTGGGTTGCCTTTAAACAGCTGGCACTCTCATATCAGGTTAACCCAACGGAATTTTATATTTTTTTTGGTTTACGGCTATAGTTTAAGCATAACGTATAATTTAATAGACGGACCATTCAAATGTGTTCATTTTAGGTAACAACCATTCCTGGTGACGGTGTCGGCCCGGAATTGATCTATGTCGTCCAGGATATTGTCAAGAACACGGGAATCCCGATCGAATTTGAAGGTTTGTGATAAAAAATGAAGAAGATACCCATAATTGCCAACTTTTAAAACGCGCATTTTTAGGAGCTTTTCCTGTCTGAGGTCCACTGGTCTCGATCCGAATCGTTGGAGTCGGCTGTGGAAGCTATTCGCCGAAACAACAATGTTGCCCTGAAGGGTTTGCGAAAATCTTACAAATTCCAACTACGCTTTATAGGAGCGATCCAGGAGGCTACTATGCTTCACACTGAGGGTGACATCCAGGGCTTGAACATGCGCCTCCGAAAGAAGCTGGATCTTTTTGCCAATGTCTGCCACATTAAGGTGCGCAAATTTTTACGAATCCGGAAATGAATTGAAGCTTTTACAATTCTTTGCACAAAATATCGCTTTTTCAGACGATTCCCGGTATCAAGACCCGCCACGGCAAAGATCTCGACTTTGTGATCATCCGCGAACAGACCGAAGGGGAATACAGCGCCCTTGAGCACGAACTTGTCCCTGGTAAGATAAACTATAAATTGCATAATTAGAATATCTAGGCGTCATTGAGTGCCTCAAAATCTCCACCCGACCGAAAATCGAACGAATCGCCAAGTTTGCATTTGACTACGCCACAAAGCACGGCAGGAAGAAGGTGAGGCTCAATTGCCATTGAGTTTAGCATAAAAAACAACCCAATTATAAAAAGAGATTCATAAATATTTAGGTTACCGCCGTCCACAAGGCCAACATCATGAAACTGGGAGACGGATTGTTCCTCAGGATTTGCAATGAGGTGCTTGGACTAAGAAAAATAAAAATGGACGGAATTTAGGTCGCGAAGTTTACCCGCGCATCGAGTTCGAGTCGATGATCATCGATAACACTTGCATGCAACTTGTCAGCAAACCCGAACAGTTTGACCGATGGTGATGCCGAACCTTTATGGAAACATCATGCGATAACCTGGCAGCTGGGTGGGGTAGACATGCTCTGAGGAGCTATATGGGTTAGGATCTTTGATGATTTATGATTTCAGACTTGTCGGAGGGTGCTGGTGTTGTCCCAGCCGAGTCGGTCGGTTCTGATTATGTGATCTTCGAGCCTGGAAGCCGGCACTCCTTCCAAGCGGCTTTCGGACGGTAGGTTAAAAAAGTTCAAGGAGTAATTGTGCTTTAGGCAAATTGCCAACCCGACTGCTATGATCCTATGCTTTGCCAATATGCTCAAACACCTCCATCTCGATATTTACGGTAGGTATCTAGTTTGATTTATGAAAATCAATACCGCTAGATCATTTGATTCTCAAATCTTTCGCCATAAATACGTAGAACATTTTCATTTTCTAGGAGATGCATTGACGGGAAATCCGTCCTCGACGTCATCAAGGAGGGCAAAGTTCGCACACAAGACCTCGGAGGGTAAGTCACCCTTAAGCACAAAAATCCGTACCATTCCAGCTATGCCAAGACCATGGAATTCGCCGACGCCGTCATCACCAAGTTCAAGATCTAAATCCTCCCAGATATCTGCAATATCTCATAGTACTTTAAAGCGCTAGGACTAGAATACTTGTAGAGCTCTCCTCTTTTTACACTCGCTTCTACACATAATACTTATTCACCCACATTACACGTGTCTTATCTCCCATTTTTTTGTGTGTATTCTTGTCCGGATCCGTGCCTTAGTCCCCGCGCCAACAACTTCCATAGCAATATGCGTCATCAGAGTGCCCCTTATAGAATTCTACCTCAGCCCACCACATGTAAACCTGCCCCCAATACTACGAAGTTCTATCATCTGTTTTGCTCAATAAATGGGTCAGTACACAAGCGTTGTTGATCTTGCAATGTGTTTCGTAGACACTAATTATTAAATTGGAAAAAGACTATTTTAATACGTAAAGGTATCTTTAGTGGATGAGCGAATCGGATGCGGAACACTTTGAAGATGCATGTTCCGAGTTACCAGAGCCGGAAGTATCCTTTAGGGTTTTTAATTTCATAGCGAATTTGTATATCGGTGTATAGGAACCAAGACGTCCGGTGGGATTTCACGATTCTTTCCAACCGCTCTCAGATACGCCCACTACTTCATATGCTCGAACAGGTTTTTTGTTTTTTTTTTGTTGGCAGGTGAAATGAGGTCCGGGATCCGGGGCATGGTTTTGTCTTGTCTTTGTCTTAGGGGTAAGGCCTCTTATATCGTTATCGATTTGTAAAAATGCTTTAGCCAACATGTTAAATTTGGGATATTTAGAAAGCATGGTATTACAGGCATCCCATCAACAACCATCAAATCGCCGAGATCGATTGCGCGGACTGCGCAAGCAGATGAAAGAAGAGCTTGGCCATCGAGGAAGGAGGTTTTTTGCTGGTCACGGAGATACCCTTGGCTTACTCAGTGAAAATACTAGTTAAGCACTCTTGGCATAAGTGGGTTTCTAAATATATAAATATACCAATTTGGGGGGGAGAGTGTTGGCTGGCGCTTCAACGGTTGTGCATCCAATCGATACAGCTTCCACCCGTGCTATGAGTACTGGTGGAAGTGTTCAGATGGAATCTCCGCGGTTACAATTTCCATACGGGCTCGTAGTTATCTAACATTATACAGATAAAATGGTTATCGTAAAATTGATTACGATTCCGTGGAATCTAAACAGATCTTCTACGAGCAGTAGTGTCACTCCACCAGTAACTTCCTCCATCTGGACCTCCGCCTCGAAATCCTCCACCGCCCATACCTAATCGGCATAAAAAAATTGAGGTACATAACTTTCTCAATTCGACAAGAAAATTATTGGATTTTGTGTTTGGCTCATTATAAATTTAGGTAAAAAGCCCAACCGCAGTCCCCACCACCACTACCACTCCTCGAAATCCCAGTATGACCCTTCCATCTCCCGTCTTGGAATACCTCCTGCCGTTCAAGTCCCACTTCCACAACCTATAATAATCGAAAAACAAAGGTACGATTATACTGGAAAATCTAAAAACATAGCATAGCTTTACACTCAACATCAGCCGAGCCAGCCTCTGTGGGCAGAATGGGATCTCGAAGAAACCGCCGAACCAAAACTTTCCGTCACTTGGGGGCGCTACCAATCAGAGTATCTCAGCAGGCCCCACAAAAATATATGTTGTCTTTAGATGGCAACAATAACAGTACACTGACCACAAATATGACAACGTGGTAATGCCAACAACCTGTCTGGAGGCCGTGGAAGGTGACATGCTAAGACGAACTCACTTCGGATCGTGGCTTAACGCTGGCCAAATCTTTGAAAGTTTGGAAGGTATAAACTGCACCAGAAATTGTTTATGCTAAATTATAGGCTAGCCCCTTCCCCTCCGCCTTCCCCAAAATCGCAAAATTCCGCTGACGCGCGGAACTGAACCACCGAATGGCGAGGAAGAAGAACGAAATCAAGAAGCGGAAGGTGTCATTCCCGGGAGAATTGACCACACAGCTGATGTCGGAACATAATTGGGAATGCACCATTGCACCGGTTAGTTCATTCAGCATTTCGTAAAATATCCTTGGGACCATCCCCTCTAACGATCAAGTGAATGGCGCAGTAGTTGAAGAACCACAGATGTAACTTCATCTTGCGCCGCAAACTCCCGAGACGCCTGTTCAAAGAAGAATTCCTATCTGGAAGGTAAGCAAAAATCAATACGCAAATTCCATTCAGCCGGGAAACCCGAAAGTCTGAGACGATATTTGGCGAAAATGAGAGCGAAGTATCATTCCGCGGCATATCGCGAAAAGCGAACCGTTTTGATAGCCTACACATCGCTGTGGTTCTAATGCCATCATTTTATGCTTACCTATTATAAATTAGGAAAGCACGTCAGCTCAAAACGCGCGCCGCCCGCCGATCGCTCTTCACCTTCATTAGCATGCCGGTAAGAAGCGCAAACCCAGGCAAGCGAAATATGAAAACAAATAGGTAATCGACCCGGTCGTGATTCGGGATGCTCTGAAAGACGAATGAGTATGAAATCGCACGGACAACCAGGTCGGATACCTTGGGGTAGCGCAATTCCTCATGAAATCAAACAACCATACTGCGGCCCAATCGAACATGATGAACAATCCGAAAACACCGTCGCCTTCAACAAACCTGGGATATGCCAAGAGTCTCGCCGTAAAAGCTATGCAACATCATGGTTGACTGGGGTTGCTGATGAGCAAGTTTTTCAACGCTTTTTAAAGTATAGCAATCGTTCAGGGCTTCAGCATTTTGGGAAGCCGCAACCGGCTTTCTGAAGACTGTGATGCCGAAGATACGGGAGATGAAAGCGAGGAACAGGGGGATCCATCGCAAACGGATGGTCATTCGGTTAGAGGTTCTACTGCCAGTACCCTCTGGTTAGACCGAAAACTCGAAAAAGGGACCCTTTACGACTTTGAACACGCCTTCCGTCGTCCAGGTTGGTGAAGACCATCAATTTTTCAATTACTTTGTCTTTAGGAAATCAAGGCCGAACACACTGGTGCCGTTTGGGTTGTACGATTTTCTGTTTGTGGCAGACTGATGGCAACGGCTGGCCAGGTAAACAACAGACAGCGCTTTGCGCTGACTTGTTTTAGGATACGATCATCCGGATCTGGGTGGCAAAAGCCCATGTCCGTCATTTTGAGGCGCTGAGAGATCGCTATATGAAACGAGCTGATTGCCCACCGGAAGACGTTAGAAAAACTTTAATTTCTAAATACCGTATTTTTAGATGTTCGAACGTGCTATGTCGGATTCTGAAGTCTTCCGCGCGCCGTCTTCCGTTGACGCAGAGAGTGACCACAATTACCTCCAACCCATCAGGTTGAAGATAGGTGAAAAGGACCAATCGTGTTTACTGTTTTTTCCATTCGTCGTCCTAAAGGTATTCATTACCCAAAAGGTTAGCCAAAAATCCACAATTTGCAGAGTCACACTGCCGATACTCTGGACTTGTTCTAATAAAGAACAATTTCATTTTGTCTCCGGAATGGACTCTAACTGGTCTAAGCTTTTTAACATCACGAGAGCAGAATGCCTCTGTTCGTTTCTAATGGTCGCGTCGATTTTGTCACTTGCGTTGCATTCCTGCCGAAAGACGATCGTTATTTCTTGTCGGGATCGTTGGATGGGAATTTGGTACTTTGGCACATCCTGAAAAGAGGGTTGCTGTTCGGAATGAGACCCAGGTTAGGCAAAAAATATATGCTAGCAAAACAAATTTCCAGGTTAAATTCATCAACGCGCCTGGTAGCGTTTGCTAAAAATGGGAAATTCGCAGTTGTTGGAACTTATAACGGCTTCTTCTACTCTACACGGCTGATGTGTAAGCTTTTTTGGAAGTTTCGCAAGATTATTTTCTCTCAGCAATTGAAAATATCATACGGTAGTCGATGCCCGATCGTCTCGAGGTCAAAACGCACGTGGTCATAAAGTGACTGGATTATGGTACATGGCGATAAATTATTGGTGAGTTAAGAAGCACCAACACTAACAAATTTGCTCACAGGTGACTTCGAACGACTCTCGGGATCCGTATGTATGATGTTCGTGACATGTCATTGACTTGAAAATTCACGGAGCTCAAAATGAGCACTCTGATTGTATTCGGTTCTCATTCTCCCCGATGGAAAGCACGTGATTTGTGGATCTGAGGTGACGAGTAAGAAAACCCTCAAAAGTTTATAATAAAAATTTTCAGGTATGTATTTCGGTGGCGCACCACGATGCTCACTTCCTCTACCATCGGTCCGGGGAGATCGGTACCCAAGATGCTACGCGCGTGAACGGGTGCGAAACCCACGCGGCTGCTGTCAGCACCATTGTCTGGGCTCCAAAAACCCTTGATTTGCTTGGCATTAAAATGGTCACAAGCCAAGCCAATCATCTAACGACAAAGATAAGGAAAAGCGGAAAGCGATTCTTGGATGATGGCTCTGTTCAAAATAAAATAACAAATGCATTCCTTTAGATTTCGTGCTTGTCTCTGCCGACCTCAACGGTTGCATGAAAATCATGGGCTGTTAAAAATGTTTTTTCCCATCCAACATGCCTCTTCTTCTGGTTTCTTCAATGGGACTGTCTTACCCCCTAATTGTATATCCCTTCAAACATTGTGATAATTCTCAACCGGCTCTCTTCCTGTGGCAATAATAGTTACCCAGCATTCCGGGCCCAAGCTTATTTATTTGTTCTTCTTAAATATTGCCAGAAATATTATTTATTTTCCATTGCACTGGAATTAGCAGCTTTTCTGGCATGGCTGAGCGCTCCCATAGGGCGACTGGGCCAACGTACCCACCTCGGCGGGATTCCGATTTTCTGGTTTTTGGTCTTTTCTCCCTTGCGAGTAGCCCTTCACCCCCACACAGTTTTTGGTTGTTAATATTTTTCTCCCTACATCAGTGCAGCTTTCCACCCACCCCATTATTTACGAGTGCCTAGCTGTTCTCCCATTTGTACTGTACCCCTGGCTTCTCGCATTTTAAGGTTTAGAGCAAACTTCAGAAACTCTGGCCCTGGTTGTAGTGCCTTTTGTCTCTTAAAAATATTGCCATAATAATGAAGAACTATTGGTTTTAAGGAAGGCCCCTGCGAAAGTTCATTGAATATTCGCAAATCAACATCATATGATATCATTCACTGCATTTTTATTTTAATTCTGCCTTTAAAAATTGCAGCTCATCATGAGCTCTCAGATGCGTTGGGTTGCTGGACTTCTGGCACTAGTGCTAGGTGAGTATAGAGAAATTTGCTGTCTCTGTCCTAATGAATATCAAACATAAATTTATTATCATCACTGTTCTTCCCTTGAAAAAGTGATTTTTAGCCTGTTCGGCATCGACAATCCTGCTCCTACGGGCAGTGCTAATGCTCGGTCCTCAACTGCTTCTGAACAAGGATCGATCCTCTCCTGAAATCCCAACCCTCAACGAGCAAAGCTTCTTGGACTTTCCACTGAAGGTTTGCATATTGAATTTAATACTTGATTTCTTGCAGATAAAGATAACGTTTATCAAGTGATTTTGTTTCAGCCTGTATCGTGACTCTCCCAGTGACTACATCACTCTCCTCGCACCCACTCGGGCTTATTATTATCGTAAATGTCGCGATCTCGACCTGATCAACGCGCAAGGCACCGAGCTATTCCGTTGAAGCTGTAAGTCTACTATCTCTCTTGCAAGCCACAAAATAAATTACAGGGCGCATTTCGTTACAACCACGAGTCGCTTGAGCAGGCCCTTGCTCTGACTTTCGGCGCTGACCGTGAAATCTGTTCCCAGATCAATGCAAGGTATGCGGAACTCTTGAACTTTCTCAGAATATGTTACGCTTTCTTTAGGATGGCAAAGCCACCGGCTCACAGATGGCCTAAGAAATCACTTCAGCGCCAAGGTTGATGACGTTCTCAGGGTGAAGACCAAGCTCCGAGCCTCCCTTCGCGATGTACTCTTCGAAGTCTACATGCTTCTGTCGCCTGCCTCAAGTCCCAGGGGGCAAAAAGTTGACCAAGGTAAGGCATTTTCAGTGATACTTGGTCATTGGGAAAAGCATAGCAACGTACATTGCATTTAAAACCTTTTTTTTCAGTCGAAACCCCCTGACATCTCACCAAAATTATCTATCACTGACCAAGTCGAACCTTGTCGATAGTGTCCATCGCAAATGCTTCTGCCACAAGTTGAGGTTCAGAATGCCGTCATGCCTTAACCGACGCCATGGTTGATAGGTGTAATCAACTCTTGGAAACGGGTAATCCAGCTTCCTCTTGCAGGTTTACGGAGGTCAAGCTGTCGTGGAGGTGATCGCCAACTCTACTCCCATCCAAGAGAAGAGCAGCGCTTCAGCCCACAATATTGTTAAGCGTGCGGTAAGGGAAAGTGTCCCTAAGCTTTAGGACTGAGGATTTCTAGGTCGGTGATGATCCGAAGGAGAAGGATCCGTTTACGCTACTGCGTCAGCAATACAATGTCTCTGTGGCGGTGAGCAGCGATTATGCCGCTATTTTCGCGATTTTCGCCGGTGAGTAGACGTCGTAAACTCTGAAAACTATTATTTCAGGAATCTCGGATCTTCCTCGCTCTCTTCGTACCTTTACATCGCTGTTGGTATCTGGAATATGGACCCAGGCAGAGACTCGATCATCTATAGGATGACTACCACCAGAATGAAGAAGGATTAGGTTGTGCTGTGCTAAAATATGAATGCCGGTATGTATCTTTTGCTACTTTCTCCTCTATTTCCTGCGTCCTCTATCTTCACTTGCCATTCCAGCCCAGTCATTGTATACTCTATTCCTACTACGCGTTGTGATACGACATTAGAGATCTAGTGAAGATAAATATATATTTTATTAGGTATATCACATGTTTGAACATCAGTACTCTTGCTCTAGCCAGCTTTCCTGCGTGAAATTTTCGGTTATATACCGGCCGAAGGTATCGCTGGGAAAGTGGTTTCCGCGCTGGGGATATTGCCTGAAAATTTGTCAGAGTCATAACCTAATCAGAAAAATTACACATTGGTATTCTTTCATCAAACAACGATGGTGAAGCCAATATTAATAATGCAGCGGCGGCCAAATTAGCTATTGTATAAATAATTAATAATATCCGATCCATCACATCGGCTACATAAGACCAATCAGAAGAAATCTAAAGAAACGGAAAAACTATAGGTCTTCCACCTGTTCCTCTTTTTCTTCGCTCGAAAATGGTCAGCTATAAAGGCAACGTTATCAATCATCCGTCGAATAAGATCCGGATGCATACCCCTCAATTGGGCTAATTGCGATAGCCGCATTTCACCATCTGAATCGTTAGACGTACGGATTTTTGAGGAACAAAACCTTGAGGGATGGCGAGGAAATAAGGAGATGGTCTGCGAGATCCATCAAAAATACCTTGCTGTATGTCGCTCGTCGAGCTACCGTCATCACTCTGGCCCTCATCACTTGGAGGTTTTATCCAGAGGTATCTACAACATATCAACGAACTTGAGACTGATTTTACCGAGGCAACGATTTAACAAAAATAGCTCGTATCCACTGGGGCATCGGATGCTGGGAGCCATCCCTTAAAATCCGTTTTGATATTATAATTACCTCACCTCCTAAAATAATTGATGGAGATCACCGAAAATACGATGGAAAAGGCTACATTGAACAACGTCCATAGTAAATATTTGCCTATTAAAGGTATCACAAGGGAGGTCGGTGGAAGAATTTCGTTGAGGACCTAAAACTTGTAGTCTAGTAAGCTGTGCTCCAAAACCTTACCAAATAATACACAGTCAAAGCGACAAGAATCGAGATCGTGAACGTCATTTTGTGCTCAATTGGAGGAATGTAGAAAACGAATAGTGTAAGAATTGCTAAAGCGACGATCTTTCCATGAAGAATTTTGAACTTACAGATCATCATGCTTGGAATCACCAGATTAATAGTATAAAACAACGTCTTCCTTCTTAGTTCTAATTTGAATGTGACGTCAATGTAACTTTCGTAGCCACAACAACCAGGATACATTTGAACGTTTCGTTCAGAAATCAACGACATTAAATCCCATTCTTCACTTCTGAAATCTGGCTCGATCATTTAAGACCATTATGACGACCTGTAATAAGAAGATAAATCCATTCCGATTGCCATATAATGATAAAGTTCATTATTGAAATTATATCTAGCTTCAATAGGAGCTTCTCCGTTCTAAAAACTTTATTCTAAACCTGTAAGAATACATACAGGTAATTGTCGGACATCCAGTTGAAGACCAGTGTATGTCCAGCCACCAAATTTCATTGTACAATCTGATAAACGTGAATAACAAATTGTTAATATATTCCTTACTTTGCTTATCATAAGGAAAGTATTCAATATTGATCTAAATTTTGATTCGGTTACTGTCTTAACCAGATATACTTACACTACAAAAACTCTTATAAATACTCGGCGGTTTCCAGATGACCAGTCCGTTGTAATAAACAAGAGCATCGCTCATGATTGTTATGTGAGGTTCTCCATCGGCACTAAAGATCGGTTTCGAAGATGATGTAAAGCATACTTGTTATACAAAACAATATCTGGGGTCCAGATTTGATCGGAAGGGACATGGAGTTTACGTAGCCCATTCCATTTCACGGGATCCCATGATAATCTGTAGTCAAACCATTGCATCTCGAGCCAGAGGTTTGTGGTAAGGACTTGACTGACTTCATCCTGAAAAAGAATAGGACATTCTACTAGTTATACAGATAGTTGATGTATGTGGGAACTTGTAAACTTTTATCACCGTACGGTTTTGATAGAATCGAATGTCAAGGGCTATGATGTGTCATTAGGTGTGTAATGCTCTTGAGATAACTGCACAACCTATCAGCGTGTGAAATATCAGCTCTTTCGTTATTAAATTTGGGTGTTTCTTCTTTCACCCACAGAACATATGATCCGGACGGATTCCCGTGTGCCGCTCATATGTTCAAGCTATCACTCTCGTCTGCCCCAGTTCGGGAGCAGGTCTTTTTTGGATTAGTGAATGCAGTTTTCCCCGAGTGAAATTAACGGGTTCCCGGCCGCCCCACCCTTTATAAGACAACGGGTCTGGCTCGGGCGTTTCTTTGGCTGGTGATCAGGTTCTTCAATTTGCAGAGTGCTAATGCGCCTTTACCGTATCATCAAATCTTAGAAAATGTCTCTAACTTCCCCTATTTTTTGCGTGATACCTTATTAAAAAGCTCCGTTTTCCAGAATGGGCTCCGATTACGATACATTCCGCCGGTTAGCCATCGGCTCTTGCCTAACTTCCGGATTGGCTATTGTGATCTTAGCGGTTGCTGCCCCTACCCTCTATAACCATTCGATGACCGACTATTACAATATCGAATCCAGAGCCCTGGTCTACAAGGTGTTGATACAGAACAATGGTAACCTCTCCGAATTCAGGACCAAACCAATCGATTATGGGAAGAGATGCAGTCGCTAGGCCAAGATGGAGCGAGAACTAATGGCATTAAGCTACCCATATTTTTCACTCGCCGCCGTCGTGCCTCGTGGGCTGGAGGACCTGTTTGTGAGGTAAGATCGGACAAGTTTCGTAAAAGTCAATTTTTAGGGTTGTACGCAACTCAGCTGCCCACAAGGACTCCCCGGTCAGCCAGGAGACTCTGGAGATGATGGTATGCCTGGTATGCCAGGAAATCCTGGAACTGCTGGCGATGATGGTATGGATGTGGAACTGTCACCAGAAGATGAGATGCCGTGCACCATTTGTCCGGGAGGACCGCCTGGACCACGAGGCCCTCAAGGCAAGTAATAGGGGGGGAATCGATTGACCGTTTTTGGAAGCTTTATCTTGCGAAGATCTGCGCCCATTACGATCCGTCTACTTTCTAGGTGAACGCGGTCAGCCTGGGTACCCAGGAATGCCAGGCAATGAGGGAGAAATGGGCAATCAGGGGGGTGGATGGGATGGCCGGGCCACCCGGAAATCATGGAAAGTCCGGGAAAAAGGGACCCGAGGGTCCACCTGGCAATCCTGGCAAAACGGTCATCGCTGGAGTCGGCATCAAAGGGCCCAAGGGCCCGCCTGGGCCACAGGGACCGAAAGGAAAGCAAGGAACGACAGGACGGGCTGCAAAAGAAGCTGGAAATCCCGGTAAGTAACGGTCATTGAAATGAAGGATTATGAGGTCGCGAGGTCTTACTTTAATGTGAATTTTAGGAAGCCCCGGTGAACCCGGTGAAGCTGGACCCCAAGGAGTTGTTGGAAAAATGGGAGAAGAAGGTCCCTACGGACCGCCCGGAGATCCTGGAATGCCTGCATCATATTGTCCTAGCGACTGTGGTGTTTCACATATTATCGCTCCAATGACACATGCTGTCTTTAATGCTGAAGCTGAGAAGCCAAAGGATCAATATGCCGGGTATTCAGGTGTGCAACTTTCATTTCCGACCTAGTTCGAGAACGAACGGTTTTTGTGATCACCGATTTATTGGGGGTTTTTCTGGAAGAAAAAAAACCTCAAACACAAGCCGAAAGGGCACCGAATTGAATGACCAATTCAAACACCGACCGCCACGTTCCTTTGATGTTTGACAAGTGTCTAACATTTTCATTTTCAGTCGGCACTGGCGACGACGAATACTCCAACCGTCAACTTTCCAACCACCCCTCCGGCGGCTATCGGAATCGATTCGTCCACTGGCAGCAGTGAACCACCATCAATTCCCCTGCCACCAAAAACCACATCAAATAAATGGAAACGGAGCATTGAATTTGGGGGTGCTATTCGTGTGAGCCCGAGCCTGTCCTGAAAGACTTATTGGCCGTTGCCCTCCCAGCCCTGATTATTATTCAAAACAACCACGTTGCATATCGACACGACCGGCTGCGGGAAAAGGATTGTTCGTGGAAAACGGAACAACGTTCTATCGGTGCCATCTATTCAGCCGATACGACGAACACTCACAGACAGACATACAAAAAGGGGGTGTTCGGAATTCTATTCGTTGGATTGGGACGTCGAGATGAGGCTGTGTATTCTATGCATACTAGTGCTTGCTATAAATGCCGGAGTTCAAGCTGGGGAGAATGTAAGTGTGGTATAAAACAAGTTTAAGGAGATCAGGAGACCCATATTAATTTATATAAGGTCAGGATATAGTTTCAAGAGTATCATAAATTGACTATTCCTTTTTACATAGCGTTTGCATATCCCGGTTAGTGTATTTAGCAATTATAAATGATGCCTGGGCCACACGGGTCAATTTTATAGCTTGAAGAATTCAAGGAACTTACATATTATTTATATGCTAATAGAGTTTGGGCTGGGCACCAGCTTCTAGCTAGATTCTTAAGTCCAATATCGCCTAAATAAATATTTTAGGATACATCTTTGGCAGGACCAGTCGCTACCACATCCATTGAAACCACTACAACCACCACAACTACCACTACAACTACAAAAACAACTACCGTCCCAAGAATAAGAGTCAAATGTGTGGAAAATGACGACTGCGCTGGCATGAGACCCGGATTTAAATGTTGCCTTAAAGACCGCCCGGCTGGTGAAATCTTTGCTTTCTGTGGGGAGAATTGTTCCAAATAACAATAAAGATAATTCCATTTTCAAACCAATAAATATTGAAAGACCCACCACATCAATGATCCGAATCAAGGCAGCCCCAAATTTCACCAGCACCGGTTGCGTCGCATTTTTCACCGGTCGCACGTTTTTGTTGTAGAAATATAATAAATCTTCATACAGTTGGTCGGCGTATCGGTTGCAGGAAATTTCGATGAAACCTAAGTAAAAATTTAATTATTTAGTGAAAAAGAAGAGCGTGTCCTACCAAATGCCCATGCGTAGACAAGTATCTGGATCCATTTGCACATAATCGCGAAGGGTGCTTAAAATTACACAAAATATATTAATACCGACATTAATAAAAAGGTAAAGGTTACCAAGAATTTTTATGCTCTCAATCAATATTTTAAACCCTAGGTAAAGCTGTAATTACCGTCGTTTCCGGTATGGTAATAGTTAAAAAGCATTTCTTAAGGCGGAATTCCCCTCTCAAGTTCCCCTATTAACAACTAATTAACATAATGATCTGAGTGCATTAAAAGGGCCATCCGGGCAGCTGGCGGATCAATCGGTGACCAGATCGAGGCTTGAGAGGCCGAGAAAAATGGAGGGGTGAAGCTGGGAACAGCCCCTCCTCGTAAACTCTCCCTCCTTTGCCCCTGGGCCCCCATTGCCTGCCTTTGGCCCTTTCTAACCGGGACCAAGAGACCCAGTTGGCCGCCTTGTACAAACAAATCATTATGCAGGTCTCGTTCTGGCATTAACACCAATTTTGTCAATTCGGCCAGTAGGGTAGTATTTAAGAAACTTATTGTATGTTATCTAGTATAGTAATCTAGTGGTTACCTGAGTAGTCATTTAGTATTTATTAACTTTACTAGATAAACCGTACGGTGGTTTTGAGTAAAATAGCCATCGAAATAAACATAAAATGACCGCCTCTGCCCATTACCTTATAATTTAAAAATCTAAAACAGCATTTTTTTTTGTTAGCCCCGGAGGAGTATCAATAAATATGGGATTCTCACCTACGTACGGCGTTATCAAATTTTCGGACTGGGACGACGCATTTGTCCTGCAAAGTGGACCCTGGGCATTGAGTTTTCTAAAAATGTCTTTATCGCAAAACAACTTACAATTTATACGAAATATTCTCAAACGATCAATTGGCTTGTTAATTAACGCATTTATATAAGCCTTAATGAAAGCACCGGCAATAAAAGATCTCCCTGATGGCAAATTGTGAGGACAAATCGAAAGAGATGGGGCAGGAAATCAATAGCTTTGCTCTAGTGAACAACAACGGAAATCACGGTGTTGAATGTTATATTGGCAATAGAATTTGTATTCCGGGCACGCGTCGTGGGCTCCCGGCGAGCATTTCCGGTCTTTGACTATGCGCGGGCAGAATGGATCTAAAAACGGATTTGATAGCGTAATTGGCCATACCCACTGTCCTCTCAATAGGTACTTCTGGAGCACGAAGCGTTACGGTATAAATAAATCTCTCGGTGTCGATGCGACTGCCAAAATCGGTTTCGTCACTTTCCGGATATAATATTCGCAGCGGTTTTGGTGTTACGAGGAATATTTCCTCTGTGCTAGCTTCTGATGGCTGGCAGCAGACACTCCGTCCAAAAAGATCATTTAGCGCCAAGACACATTCAGCTTTTTCTAGAAATTTGTTGATCTCTAGTGACTTCAGAAATGTCTAACCTGGGCAATCAAATTCTTTATTCTTTGCTGCTGAACATTCCATTAGCAATTGTGTACCAGGATAAAACACTGGTGAAGAATCCCCAGGACATTCGAGGTATTTAAACGTCTAGAAAATCCAGATTACATGCAAATCATTTCTAACCGATTTCGGGGTAGTCGAGCTAAACACTGGTGGCATGGTATTGTAGAAACCAATTGATTCAGCAGCTGCGTCGACTTCTTTTTGAATATCTATGGGTGAACGGTTTATTTCGTTTTTTGATACTTTCTCACCAATAATCCTTCTGATCGGCGTCTCAATGTGAGAATTCTGGACTCGATTCTCGTGGTTATTTGAGTAAAAGTCGGAGATCGACTCGTGGTGGCTGACAGCTAATGGATTGCTGATTTCCGACTCTGTCGAATTTTTTGGCGGCTCTTCGGCAATCGATAGGTTTTTGGACATTTGATGTGTTCGCAGTTCCGACAGGATCAATTGCGTCGTTTTCGGTGAGAATGTGCAGCAAAAACCGATGAGATCGCCTGGATAAGCACTCTGGCAGACGAATCCATCACTAAAATAGAATCGATTAAGTAAAGTATGTATATAAATTATGATGTATCTAGTGAGGTATATTAAACTATAGATATTACGCGCAAAGTGTCACTCCAACTGTACAAATGACGGGTCGGGAAGAAACGGCATCAATGTATGGTTTGGTAGATTCAGGACAAGTCGCTAAAGTATATTAAGGCTGAAAATGCAAGTTATATTGTTTACCGGTAACGGTCTCGTCACAACAAGCTCCCCATCTAGCACCAGTAATCGTAGCAATACAGTGGTGTTTAGAAGGACAGGTAGATGGATACAGTAGTGGGTCACATTTTAGGGTACTTCCTGACACGGGATGCAGGTATCGTTTTTGGCCAAGGGGACAGATATCTGAGGTATAACTTTGAAAATAGGCTACTATATACATACCTCTTTCCGGTGTGCAACAATACCCGACAGTGCTTTGGGTTATGCAGAAAAAATCTGCAGGGCAGCCATCGGCCACTGCACTTGGCTGGCATGGCTTGACACTCAAGGTACCTGGCTCTAGATAAGCCAAGTATCCCGCCGGACAAGTTTCTAAAACCCAAATAAGCAATTTGCAAGCAAAATGCAACCTCTTCTTGGGTGCCCACAACATACATGACGTCTATATAACCCATCATAAGCACAATGATACCCGTTTGGACACTCGTTTTGATTCATATCGCACACTTTTACATCTCCTTTCACGATTTGCACCACTTCCCCGTCGTTACAAGCTGAGAAAATCGATAAAACAGAGTGTATAAAGTTTACCGGTGTTTTCGCAGAATCTCTGACATTCATGAGCGGAATCGAAGCGATTCTCATTCCCTCCAACGCAGTCGACAAACATAAACGGCTTGCATCTCAGTTCCACAGAATCAAAGTAGAACCGTTGAACTGATGGCTTGAAGCAATCTCCGTATCCAGGATTTAGCGGAAGCGAACAACGATCCGCTGGCAACAAAATATTGAAATCAGATCTAAAAACCTTACCTTTCGTCAAGCAACAAAACCCGACGGGTGTCCCAAAATGCATTTGCCCGGTTGATTGGCATTTTCTTCCATTGGAACATTCCGTATCAACAGTGCACCAGATGACATGCTCGCGGAGGTCTTTTTCAGGTTCTGTGCCATCGAGACAAATATCTAAAGGACTTTTCTATGCGGTCGGTTTGGGTTCGAACATTACCTTTGAGTTCAGCTTCGGCCAATAAGGCTAGGGTGAAAATGTAAAGCAGAAATTTCATCTACTCCAATCGGAATTTCGCACAGTTGGCGCCTGTTAGCTAGGTTACTAAAATTTGAATACCGTAGAATTGTTTTAATCATAAACCCGAGTACTTTCAGGGAACAAAAAAAAATAAAAAACAATCGTAAAAAAGTGTTCCAAATTGTCCCTGAAGACGGTGCGGATGGAGCTTACCAGTAGTGTGCGGGGCGCGTGGCCCAGATTGGCCCTTCTTTGCACCTCACGCGCACACCTCCACTCGAGTGCTATCAAACCACTTGGTCGAGGGGGGAGATCGCATTTTTTGGTGGAGACCCTCGCACAACTCACCCTCAGGGCTTTAGCCACCCACATACTGACAGTGCAAACTGATGGATAGTCTGGATACTTGAAGGATTGGAGGATAGGTCCTGGACCCAGTGGTAACCAGAGATGTTACGAATTAAGTAGTATCAAAACGGCGAAATTTACATGATCAATCCTATTTGCATTCAGTAACCTTACACAAAAACAAAACTATTCTTAAAATCTGTAATACTAACTTTACTACCTGATCAGTCTATCGCCAAAATTACAATTTTAGGAATAGCGCATATGTCTGGGTTAAAATTACCAAAACTATAGTTAGATTTACAGCCTATTACTATGTAATTACAAATTGTTGGTAATGACAGAGAGGTGTCACTCGGGGAATGGTCATTGGATGCGTGTATGGCCCAAAGGTAAATATATCCGCAGCCGTTCATTTGCATCCCCCGGGTCATACAAACCAATAGAGATCCGACCCTTCCCCCTTCCTATCCTTTTCAACTAGCCGCACCGAAATCATTTGCAATTTCTAGATCCTTTCTGCAAGCCATTTCGGGTTAGGCTACGTTCATTTTGGCCCCTGGCTTCGGGTTGAAAAACCAAAATTTTTCATTAACTTTGTGATCTCACATGAGCCAAGCACAGCAAATAAGAGCTTTAATTTGATTTCCCTGTATCGCAGCCAAACCTCTCCAAACTAACGACGTTTGATTAACAAAGAAAAGCGTTTCCAGCATTTCTTTCCAAGGCGATGATGTTCCGATCCCCAACTGGATTTGTTACTCGGCCCGCTCGACGTCAAGGTATCAAAATTTTGATCTTATTATTCTGGCTTTTTGCCTAAAAACGTTTGCTCTGTTAGTCATTCATTCGCCCTTTACCCTCCTCTACCTCCGCCTCCCCTCCTCCTCCCCCGCCATCAGCTGCGAGACGCGTCCACTTGTTGTGTCAAATTTCAATATTTGCCAATCAACAAAGTAGGGGATTTTCCAATGGAGCCCCCTGCACCCACAATTTGTGCATAAAATTCGGCCATTTCTGGGCCCCGGGCCGTGAATTGATTTCCCCCGTAGGCGTGCTGACTTTTGGGTAGCTACTCCTTCAGGTTTCACCTGTCAATAGAACGTTTCTAATGAACAAATACGCATGATATCATCTTAGAGGTCTCCATGAATTTGGACGTCGAGAGAGATTCGATCAGTTCTTTTACTGAAGATGATAGAAGCCGCTCTAATATTTCAAGATCCAATTATTCCGCATCCGTGGTTTCGGTAACTTTCGAATTCCTAAAAAAGATCAACCTTTTAGGGTGACTCGGCAAAAGATCTCGCGAAAAAAAGAAATGGGAATTATTTATTTGGACCGATTAATTGGTTAAATTCGGCCGTTAGTAAGTGTTGGGATGTGAATCTTAATTGGACTTTAGATAAGAAATCTTCGATTGACTTTACGGATACTTATACCCAACAGCTATTAAAGCCGTTATTTGTATATATGAGTACTCTTGGGCTGAATTATGCCCATAGTCAGAGTCATAATATTTTGGGGAAGCTGTATAACGTGCTGATTTTTGCGATGCTGGTGAATTAGCCATTATGGATAAAGATGGCACTTTAGATAGCTGCTACTGTTCGTAAATTTTCGCAAATTGGCGAAAAAGGGACGGCGGTCAGAGATAAATCATATCAGGTATAAACAGTAAGAAATTGCCAAGATAAATCTTCTAAAATCGAGCTTGTGTTTGTTTTAAATATTAATATACCTCATTTAGGATGCTCTTGTCGATCCATCAGTTGTTATGACACTTTGTCATTGCCTTTTTATGTTCAGCGGTTGCTCAGCAGCTTTCATGTTGATTCTATTCCAACAAAGACGACGAAAAGTCTATGAAGTATCAAATTCAAAGCCCAAAAACCTGGTGGTTTTTTAGATCCTCGATCAAGGTGTTGGGAAAGGAAATGCCAAAGCCGACTCTCATCTTTTGCATTTAAATCAAGCATTGGTCATTCTCTCGTGCGTATTTTCATCAATCATGGCGGCCATGCACTTTTGTAAGGCCCTAGCCATCATTTAAAATTTCGATAAATCTTTTTAGTCACAAAAACCGGGCTTCTCGACCTTCCACAGTCCCCTCCACTCATCAGCAACGCGCTCCCTTTCACGATTTTAGAAACCTATATTATTTTCGTCACGCAGGTTCGTATTTTATAACTTTATCCAACCGTACCAGAGTTCAATTCTTATGCTTGCCTCGTTGTTCTGCCAACTTTGCCTAATCCTACGGGCAAGTATCATCAGGTTATGCGCCGAAATGCTGCCAGTCCACGAAGAGTAAAACCAACTTAATCTCAAAATGCGCAAATTTTAGATGTCCAACCACGGAACAGTCTTTGAAACAGATCCACGACGTGCAAATTCACTATCAGGTGCGACTCTATATTAAACCAAGTATCAAAATTTTAGGAGCTCTACAACGCAAAAGCTCTGATCGAAGAAACTTTCTCATTCGCCATATTTTTCACTTATGGTTGCTGTATTCCAATGATATGCTTTTTGTGCTATATTCTATTGAAAAATTCGAACGTGAGGATTTTGCGTCTACTGACACTAGTAATACAAATTTAGCAAGATGCTACCGAAATTGTCTCATTGTTGATGTGGGTGTTCAACACGGTGATAGTGTTGTTGTTTTTTAGCATTCCTGCCTTTATGGTGCAGGAAGAGGTGTGTAGCATTTTTAGAGTTTGCAGTCAGCATCTAGGGCGAGAAAATATTGAGCTCTTGTTTTCGGATGTATCACGAGACGTTGTGTGAAGATCGTGATTTGCTTGTTATGGTGGGACTGCTACGTCAACTTTAAATAATATATAAAATTTAGTCCCAAATGCAATTCCTTTCAATTCAAATGCACACCTCGCGTATTCAGTTAACGGCCGGAAATTTCTTCGTGATGACCCGAAAGATTTTGCTAACGGTAATTGAGTTCAAGCGCCTATATAAAAATTTTCAGCTAACCTCCGCCATCTTCACCTATTTCCTCATTATCGTCCAATTCGAATCGGAAGCCAAAGATGACCTAAAATCTCGGGCATCAGTTGGGAGGGGTTGAACGATCATTTATGCATTCCACTTTGAGCAAATTGCAAAATTATTGGCCATAATATTCGGTGTGGTTGTATATCCCAAAATTGCGGGGTATGGTAAGAAAGTATCGGCTACGTTCTGTTCCATCTTTTGCATGTGAAATAGAAGCCGGTAGGGCAGCCCTTGTCATCACGATCTCTCACGTTGTATGTACATCTGGAATAAAAAAATATTATTTTTTTTGAATGGTCGTGTTTTATATCATTAAATGCACTGTCTTACGAGTCTGCAGATGGAAAATGGAGGGAAAATGCTCGGTAGATCTGATATGAAATTTAACGCACTTCTATGCGCCAACTATCGACAAATGTTGCCGTGTTTTCGAGCTTCAAACCAAATATATTCTTATAATTAAACCTAATTTTAGGTAAAAATATTAAATTCACCTGCATGACCCATCTTTACTAAATCCGGGCAACAGCAAATCACACGAATCGTCATTTCTCGATGATGGTTCACCCTGTTCTAAGGGATTCAGCACCGGACAGTTGTACGTTGGTCCTAGAATTAAAAAATATATCGAAATTATGAGTCTTCCGAAAGATTGTATAATTTATAATTAACCAGCATGTCGAAATTCGGGATGGTCGAGCAGTAATGGTTTTGGTGCGACCCTGGACTTTGATGGTCTGATCGTCGCGAAAAGGGACTGCTAAATCGCAATTTTATGAGCCTAGTTAGTGAGTTACCTGAGTGAAACGTAAAAGGCTTCGAGTGGTTGGTGTGAAAGCTGTTGTGGTGTCAGTAAATCTGAATATAATTACGATGAGAATTCAATATATTATAGCAAAATTAAACCTCGTGAATTTCCTAAAGGTAGGTCGCATTGTCGGTGTAGTAGATCGTGGGATGGTCGTTGTAATAGTTGTAGGCAGAATTGTCGTGGTTGTAGCCGGGATTTCCGTTGTACTAATCCTAGTAAATTTCTTTCGCAGTCGCGTGGCTCGTGAACGAATTGTTGTGGTCTCCTCGATCTCATTAGCATCAAACAAATTCGTTGTTGTGAGGGTTACCTCATCCTAAAGCAATTTTTACTCAAAAATCCACTCACATTTGGTTCGGAGGTAGTGGTGGTCTTGAAAAATAGTTTTCTAAGCTTGGTAGAGAGGGAGGTTTCAGTAGTTGGATTCGGGCTTGTGGGCGGGCTGGTGGTTACGATGAACTAAATAAAGTTAAGGTAGTTTAGTTTAGATTTATTTTATGCTTAAGGCGGATTTTTATAAACCTTAAGGCGACGCCTCGTTGTCTGGGTGTGTTCAGCAGCCTCGGTTGTAAGTGGCTGCGTTGTTGTCGGCTGAAAAATTAGGATAAAAATTGCATAAATTAATTGTAGGAACCTCCGGAGTTAAATGGAATGTTTGGGAGGTGGGAGTCGTTGGTCGGGTATCAGGTTCGAACATGGAGCTACCATGTCGAAACACCGGAGCCGGCTTTCTGGTGACCTGAAGCTTCAGAATATGGAAATCAATTTAGTTTTTACCGTCGTGGATGTGCGTATTTTGGGAATGATAGTTTTTGAAAACAATAGTTTCTTGGTAGTCGGAAAAACAGTGGTAGTTAGGACGGTCGTTTTTGTTGTTGAAAATATTTTGGTGATTTTCTCTTCAGGGGCTCTTGTTGGTGTTGTTGTTGTCGCTGTCGTTGTCGTTTTCGGTTTTCTGGTAAACTTCTTCTTCTCTGTTGTCCCGACTGTAGTAGTTGTCGTGGCTTCTGTCGTTTTTGGCTTGGTCTTCCTTCTTCGAGTTGTGACGTCATCATCAGGTTTTTCCGTAGTCGGATTTTGAGCCTTATTGAATCTCTTCTTGGTTGTCGGTGCCGGGTCAGTCGTTGATTGTCGGCCCTTCGATTTTGGTTTTGGCCGTTTGGTGACAATGTCCACTATGGGAGACTCAAGATCGTAGTCTCGACTCTCGCTTTTCGTGAATTCAATCGTTGAAGAAGGTGATTGTGATGATGCAGGGGACCTAAATTTCATGCTACACACCATCTCGAACTTACAATGGTTCGGTCCAGGATTCGAGTGATGGTTCAGAAAAGAAGGCTGTAGGGGTGGACCATAGTGGCCATCTTCGAGTAGTAATTGGAATCTAAACTAGTATATTCGAGAATAGAAAGAAACCATTGTCGTCCCAGCCAGCTGACCCCGCAATCGAAGGTCAAATGATGGTAATTTTGGGAGCCATTGATCATAAATATCCTAAAAAAAACGTGTGCTATACAGAAAGTACAACTCACTTCTCGATCAGCCTCTTTTTTCAAGTCGTTCGAAAAATCATAGTCAAAAGAATCCGGATTCGAGAATTGTGTTAGTTCATCAATAGAAGTCTCTAAAAATAGCCATCCTTAAAAGCGTTCGACAAACTTCCACGGGATAATGGCTCGACCATCCGTTTTGCGTCAGTCTTTGGCTGGATGCCGAGGGTATAAGCTATCCCGTTGCAGAGGAGCAAATAGAGACAAAACATGGCATCTGAAGCGAGACTTCTTTTGCAACAGACAATGACGAGATGGCTAATGTTGCCAATGAAACAGTTTTGGGGTGGTGGTGAAGGAGGAAGGAAGCAAGGAAGAAGAATAAGGAGAAGAAGAAGCCCTTATGGTGAAAGCTGCCAATTGCATCCAAGGGAGGGGGAGGACGGCAATTGGAGATCGAGATCATCTATGTTGGGGCGACTGGTTCGTTGCATTCCGAGTATTGTTTTGGCAACTTATGGAGGTAGGAATAATTCTGGGTATATTTACGTTGGGTAAGTAATTAGGTTATTAGATAATCTTTATGCGAGCTTTTAACAAGGCTTGATCTTAATAACAAAAATGATATTTTGATGGAGATCTGATCTGTCGTTTTCAGCATATTCTACACCTCATGACGTTTCTTCCTTTTCCAAAAAAAGCATTTTCTGAGACTGAACTCTTTTTATAAATAGTTAGATTTTATTGTGTTTCAAAACATATAATATATTTGTAGCAGTAAACGGGAAGAATGCTGGAACAAGACATCTAGATACAAGATCAAAGTGCATATCGGAAGTTGCGATATTACATAAGATTGCCTCAGAAATATGCGAGATGATCCGCAGACATATTATCAGCTTGAGAAGAAGCAGCCATCGGGCGGATCCGAGCACCTTTGTGCCGGGTTTGTGATTGATGGTCGGCTCCGTTATGCAAACGAGATCCAAAGAGGGGGAGCCACCCCGGAGAACGACTGCTTTGCCTTCGACTTTGGCCACTGGTTGGGGCGGCTGGCTGTTGCGCCAGAAACTATATTGTATTAAGTTTTTTGTTTTTTTTATATAGTATAAGGGAGCATCCCCTGGAAGCTTAGCAGTTTTTTTATTGAACTCATGCTTTAAATTGGGCTTAAATTCCAAAAAACTGAACGAGTCAACACGCAGCTAGTTCCCCATCCTGGCTACGTATACACTATCCCCGAACGTAGTTAATTAAGTGCAAGGTTCCGTTTTGCACCCAGCATTTGACAGCAGCAGCAGCCAGACAGCAATGGGGTCACCTGAAGACTTTGTGCTACTTAGAGTTGTCTTCCGGTGGCTAAGCCAGAAGCGACTCTCCTGGGTGCCCCCAATTGGTTCACGCCCCGGAGCCGCTCGACAATTGATGGCTGCTTTGGCCGCCCTTTTTTCTATCCACCCGGTCAGAAAGCGACTTCTTTGCCACTAGCCTCTCTTCAACATGCCCGTCGTCCACTTTCGAAGAATTTTGCAACTTTTGGCTTTGTAATACGATTGTCTCTACATCGTCAATCCTCCCTCCTACCGGCAAAATTGTCGCCATTGGTATACCCCCGAATAATGATGGATTTTCCAGTCTGCCTCATAGCATTCGAACATGCCTATCCTTCAGATGCCCTTTCCAAAAGACCATCCATATCCTTCTCCTTTCCACACCTCATCGACACCCCCCCACCCCATTTTAAGCTTTCCACTGCTAGAAGCGCTTCTTCTCCCCGTCTTTCTTCCTCAGATCTATTCCTTATTTCCCCGCCCTTCTTTTGACTCCTCCAAACACCCTTCCCCCTCCTTCTCCGGCGTGTCCGGAATTTCGTTTGTCCGTCTTTTGCTAAAAATTGTGCCCAGCTTTTGTCGATCAGCGAACATATTTGCGGGAGCTCATTTTCGGCGGAAATTCCATGGAGCAAAAGGGGAGGAGAAGGCGGAGGAGGAAGGGCAAAAGGAGGAGGAGGGGTCGGCTCTACGGCTTGAGTTTCTCTCTTATAAACAGGAGAAGGGCTAAGGTGGGATACATGGGTAGAAGGAAAGGAGCGACGAAGAGTATATTCAGACACACACAGCTCTATCAAGTTGTTTTCCTCTCACCTATGCTGGATTTTCATTGAGTATTCCCCGGTGGAACGCCGGTTGGCGTTTTCGAAAAGTTGTTTTTAAGGTTTAGCTGCTACCCTTGGTGGCTTCGCCTTTTTTCGAGATGGATAGAGGAAGTGGCGGGGAGAAAGGTTCTCGTTCTCGAACCTTTGGCCAGACAACCCAGGTGGGCTGGGTAATCGGAAGAAGTGGCTGATGCATTCCAGCGATAACCGCTTCTTTGCGTTCCCAGGGTGGCCCACGGAGGTCCCAAAAGGCCAATTTTTTTCTGCCCGCCCTCCTTTATGCCCAATAACTCGCGCCTTCCGGCCAATTTTCGTTGATTAAGCAGGGCAAAGTGGGAGACGTAAAGCAAAGAAAAGCAAGCGTTCGTACCAGAAGGTGCGGATTTAGGTTTAAAATTTCGCCCTTTTTCCTTTTTAGAAACTTGCACCAGATGGTTTTCTTAGGTTTCTGAAAAAATTTGAAGGGGTGCAGCCTTATTTTCAGATAGCTATGAAAGAAGAGGTTTTTCGAGTAACGTCGGAAAATAAAATGCATTAGGCTCAAATTCACCCCCAAATTCTATAAATGGTCAAACATAAAAAGTCGAACAACTACATTCCTTTAAGGGCTAAGCTTACCCTTTCAATTTGCACTATGGATAAGCAAGCCTATATATAAATATAAAAATAATCCGACGCCGTCCGACCTCTGACATGTCTCAAAGCCAGCAATTACCCAACCCCATAGCTCCCCAAGGTTTTCCAGCTCTTTGAGTTCCCAATTGTTTACTCCGCCGGCGTGGTTTTTCCAGTTTTTGCGTTTATATTTTACTCCTTGCGAGCGATTTTGAAATCTCTAACGTAGTTACGGCAGACAATTTATTCATTTGTCGGTTCCGATTACCCGAATGGTCCCAATCTCGGACATCCTCCTCCTGGCCTTCTAACCATTCTCTTTAAATAGAAATCTTCTTATCTTTGATGAAGTCTGACTCCGACGCGTAAAGTTCACGAGTTTGCCCTAAAATGAATGTAAAGTCTTAAATATCAGGACCCACGTTTCATCCGTGATGCTGCTTAAAAATCGATCGAAACCGGATTAGCAGTATTATCATAATTACCGCAATCAATGTTAGTCCAAGTATGCCAACGCATAGACATATTCGAGTTCCATTCATACTAGCCAAGTCAGTCCGGGCCGGTGCTATAAAAGAGGCGTAAAACGGGGGTCAAGGTGTTTGTTCAAAGGATTTCCATATGTTCTCAACTCCAGCGGCTTAAAGGGGGAGGTAAGGAGGGTAGAGATTGGCAAGTGTCGGTTGAGGGGAGTATACAAAAAGCGGTTTTTGGTCGTGAAGAAAGTAAGGACCGCAAAAAAAATAAATTCAGATTACCAATCAGACATTAGAAAATGCCAAATCACATTTTTTGCCAATGTGCTCGAAAGCGTTGCGGGACCGCGTGGGTGCCCAAATGCAGCTGAACACACACAGACAATTGTGTGTGTGTGAGCGGTGAGATTGTTTGGGCGAATTTGCGTCTCGGGCCAACGGATTGGCGGGGTGCCCTGATTCATGTGTTTATCACGGCTTAGGTACCCCCCCAGCTTCACCGTATCGGTTGGCCAACGAAGGAAATGCTGGGTGTCCGGGGAAAACGGCTGAATTTTGTTGATATTGTGCCAAAAAGGTCAACGGATCGAGGGGAAGTGGGAGAAATTTGATTAGTAGATTCAGAAAAGTTGAGTACAGGGTGGCTGAAAAGTTCCCGCAATTTCTTGATACTGTTAAATGGACTGGAAATTCCTAAAATTCTAATGAGGTAGAGAACTTATGGTAACTAATAGTTTAATTAAGACGTAAAGAACAAATTGCGAAACAAAAATCCACAATAAATCTTCACAGCTTCCCCCAGACGCTTCGATACAAATGCGCATACACCTTGAAAAGTTGTCTCCCATGGTCGCGCCCTCTGCCACAATAACCGAGGCCTAGCACTTTCCAGGGCTGTTTTAAGGAGATTCACTGTAGTGGAACGTTTTTCTGAGCTCTTTTGCTACAAAATGGTCGAAACCGAAAGATCAAAAAAAATTGAATCCACTGAGTTGGAGGCCCAAACATCAAAGCCGCAAAAACCCGATTACAACTTTCCCCAGAGGGTGATAGTTGAACGGGCCGGAAAACCTGGTGTCCAGTCTTGCTTAAGCGTGAAAACGTTTTAACTAAAAAATTGCTTAATTCATGGCTCTAAAACGATCCTAAGGGCTTGATATTAATGCTCCGTGACTTCGATTTTTACGTTTTTCTGAACGAAAACGGTTTAAGGGTTGCTGGGGCTCTAGATTCCTACTCAAATCATCAAAGTTCTCGGAAAACGCGAATGATAGACCAAGACTCCTTTATTAACCGTTTTTGAAGAGTTTACGATGATTTTGCCCGTTCCGACTCGATTCTATAGTGAAAACATTGACGCCTCCCTGCTCACCGGGAGGGCGCGACCATGGCCGGCAATTTCCACGGCTGCCTGCGCGCTCCTATTCAGCTGCTGGTGGAATTCGTGAACATTTCTTGCGGATTTTTGTGTTGTAATCTGTTGATTACGTAGTAAATAAAGTTCCTGTTGCCTGACCTCAGCCAAATTTTAGGATTTTCCGTCTAGTGACCTGCTAGAAGAAATTGCGGGAACTTTTCAGCCACCCTGTAATGCTCTAAGGTTAAAAATAGGAAAAGTTAAGATTATTGAATTTAACAAACGATAATGCCAACCAAATGATAACCGTCAAGGTTGCCATTTTTTGTGCTGATTTGAGATGTTGCAATGAAAAAAATTTGGATTTTCCTAACGAAGTTTTCTGCTTTCCTTTTTGCCTGATTAAAAAACTTTCTATTTCATAAATTGCTGGATTTCATAAAGACCGAGTAAAACAGCTGGTTTTCATATACTTACTTCTGTTTTCTTACACCGATGTTTATGCGCGTCTAAAAATATCCTGCACTAACAAAAACAATATTTATTTTTAGATGTGACAGCAGCGGGGCAACGATGGCAACGAATACTACACGTCTTCTAGGTAGGCGTGATATATGCAAAATTTGCATATTTTAATTTCCAAAGTGATGGATGGTCCCATCTTCTCGGCTTTAATAGCACATTTTTCTTCTCTCTCATTTCCATGTGTTAATCGAGTCTTGGTACAACCTCGGGTTCGCAGCCGCGAGGTTTTCAACCCCAGTCACTCTTCTTTCGATTATGCAAAAAAAAGTATTGATTATGCAAATTCGAGCCCATTTCACCTGCTTCGATAGCACTATCTGGTTTTAGGGATGGGTTGTGAAAACAAGCAGCACATCCCGCCCGCACGTCGACCCGGGAATTCCCAATTAGGTTCACGCTCGGGGCTCCGAGTCCCCTAAACAACCCTTCGTGCCCCCCATCTTATTCACGTCCTTCCTTAACCCTCCAACACATCCTGGTCATTTCCCTCTCAACTATATGCACATATCGTAGGTGTCTTTAGGCGTATCGTGTCGCTTCGGGTTTTCTAGATTCCGGAAAGCTAAAAATATAAGCTGAAAATTTGACAAAACCAACATTTTTCCGTAAGCGGCTTGTTTAATTTTATAACTTCGCCAAATTACTGTTTTTTTCTTCCGATCCTAGCCAACGGCCAAGTTTAAAAGACATAATTCGGCTACAGTACTATGTAATTTTAAATGTTGTGTTTAAATGATAAATGTAGCTTCCAGGGTCCACCACGTTATAGCACTATATTAACTCCTACGCCTTGCCTCACTGTATATTAATTTTACCAATTTGCCAAATAGAGTCCGAAACTTCCGAATCATACTGTATACTTCACGTCTCACCCTTCCAGCCCTTATCCCAAATATCCCCCCTCCAATTGTTTTGACAAAAAAGGTTGTGCGCTGGTTTCGTGGAGGGGTTGTG